TTTGCATAGGGCCCATATGAGATGCCAGGAATGCAGAGCATTAGTCTGTTGAGCAACATTTTCGGCCCTCAACTTCACTGTCATTTTTCTCTGCACCCAAGTGAAAACATCTGACTTCATATTCCCACTGTCAAGGCTCTTTTTAAATTATGTTGCATTTGAAAAGATAAAGAGACACAGAATGAGAGATGCCCATTAGAGACTACTAGTCTACTCTAAATGCTCAGAAGGGCCAGGGTAGAGCTGGGTCAAACTCAGAATATTATCTGGGGCTCCCACATTGCTGGCAGGGATCCAACTAGGTGCCACATCACTACCTTTCAGGGTGCATAATAATAGGAAGGTAGAATCAGAAGCGGAGTCAAGACTTAAATCAGGTACTCCCATGTGGGATACACAAGAGTTATCTTTTTTTTAAGCATTTATTTATTTGGGGGGTAGTACAGTGGCTCAACAGATTAAGCTTCTACCTTCAAGCACTGGCACTCCATATGGGTGCCATTTCATGTCTCAACTATCCCACTTCCCATCCAACTCCCTGCTTATGGCCTGAAAAAGCAGAGAGGGATGGCTCAAGGCATTGGGACTCTGCATTCCTTTTGGAAACACATAAAAATCTCCTGGCTTCTAGCTCTACATCAGCTCAGTTCCACTCATTAGTCATTTGGGGAGTAAACCAGTAAATGGAAGTTCTCTGGCTCTCTCCTCTCTGTAAATTGACCTTTCAAATTAAAATAAATCTTTTTTATTAAAGTCTCCAAAAAGATCTATTTACTCGAAACTCAGTAACAGAGACAGAGTGAGACAGATCTATCCACTGGTTCATTCCCCAAATGTTTACTATGGCCAGAGACGGGCCCATCCAAAGTTGGGAGACTGAGGCTTCTTTTGAATCTCCCATGTGGGTGCTGGGGCCCAAGGCCTTGAACCATCCTCTGCTAAGTGCTGGACTGGAAGTGCAGCAGCAAGAACTTAAACTGTAGCTAGCATATATATAGATTGCCACTGTTGCAGGTAGAAGACTACGTTGCTATGTCACAGCACCAGCTCCAGAGGATGCATCTTTTTTTTGAAATTCAACATATAAAGAGAGGAGGAGAAACAGAGAGGAAGATCTGCCGTCCAATGACTCACTCCTCAAATGGCCACAATGGCCAGAGCTAAGCCAATCCAAAGCCAGGAGCCAGGAGCTTCTTCCAGGTCTCCCACACAGGTGCAGGGTCCCAAGGCTTTGGGCCATCCTCGACTGCTTTCCCAGGCCACAAGCAGGGAGATGGAAGAGAAGCAGGGCCATCAGGAGTAGAACTGATGCCCAAATGGAATCCAAGCATGTGCAAAGCGAGAACGTTAGCCTCTAGGCTACTGCGACAGGCCCAGAAGATGGACCTTAGCTCCTGAACCAAACACCGCCACATACTAGATACAGCATTGTTAACCATTCCAACCCATTTTCACTTAATGCTTTTACTTATCTGGCCAAAATAACTTCCTCCAGAGATCAGATAAGAGCGAGCACTCCGAAGTGCCCTAGAAACTAAATCATTACACATACAGTTGGTGGCCATTTGAGGAGTAAATCAGTGGAAGATCATTATCACCCTATCTCTGGCTTTCAAATAAAAAGTAAACCTTAAAAAAAAACAAATTTACACAATCTGATCTTAACTTGGTTTTTCCAAAAACATCCCTCACTCTAGTTCACTGCATACGGCGCAAAGCGGCAAATGAACTGCAGTGACGTGTTTATGAAGTAGATCATCCCTAAACAAATTAATTAACTAAAACTCTACTATCTCCTCAAGCACCAAGCTCAGGTCCAAATTCTATACTTCTGCTCTTTCATAACCTAACAACTTTTAGACATTTTTTTTTCAAACTGATAAACACAAGGTGACACATGATCGTATCTTCCACACCTTGTTATGCTTCACAGGATTATGCTCACAAGCGAGTACCACATAGATAACCAAGAAACACACATCTCTGGTACTAATCAATGACATGAGCTAGGAAATGTCCCGGAAATTAAGAAAAAGATAGTGAACCTTAATGTAACATGAAATTTTATGTACTATAAGTCAAATGCCAATGGTTCACATTTACCTACAGGTTAACAACATATTAATTCACAACTTACCAGAGAAGTTGCCATGAATGGCAAAGCTAATGCCAGTGGCTCGCTGCAAGGTCAAGTTGTACAGGAACATTGTGGTTGCCAAACGGTGCTATGCAGAGCACCAGGTCCCAGTTACAGCAACAATATCAAATTAACGTAAGCTAAGGGAGAAAAAAAAAATTCCCATTAAACTGATATTTGTATAGACAATTCTTCTGGAAACTTCAGCTCACGGCAGCAAACTAAAGTGCATTGAAGAATAACGTACAAGTCAGAGTGCGGTCTAGGTCTGGTCCCGCGGTACAGACTTTCCCTTTCAGTAGGTAGCTTTCTATTCCCTTTACAGATAAGGGAATCGAGGATGAATCACCTCGGAAGCTCCTCAGCCCGTGTTGAACTGCTGAAGAGTGCCCCTAACAGAACACTTCCTGTTTATCCTTTTGTTGCCTGAACTAAGGTGTATTTTCATTGCATTCGAATAGGCTATATGCACATGGTTCAAAATTTAAAGGCACATGAAAACAGTTTCTCTAAGCCATTCCTAAAACACGTGCTTTCTCCCAGGGCAAATCCATTTACCAAAGCCATCTGCTGTCCTTTCAGGATTGTTTTTCTCTGTTGTTGTTTTTTTTTTTAATATAAATAACAAGCAACATTATCCTATTCTATCCTCCCTTTTCCCAGTGGTTGGGTACTGTGTTTTACACACTAACACTATAGGACAACTTAATCTACTTTCTTTTGTTTTTTATTTTATACTCGTAGAATAAAATAATCAGCTATATTGTTAAGTATTCCACTGATGAACATTTAGGAGATGGCAAAGAAAATTTCCGAATGTGAGTCATTTATTCAAGGCATCTACAAAATGTTCAAGGAAACACTACTCATGGACATGACAATTTGTTGACCAAAATAAACTTATCTTTTAATGCTGTTTCCCCACAAACTTTCTGAGGTGCTCTCAATCGTGCTTCTCTAAAAGTGCACAGATGGGTGCTGCCAGATTGCCTTTAAAGAGGTTTTTCTACCAATTTACATCCCCAGCAATGCATGGTCACCCATAAACAGCCGCGATGATATTTCCACCTTAGTTTATCGGTTGAAAAATTCTTAAACTGCTTTTAGTGGCAATTCTTACACAGCTCTCAATTTCAAAGTAGCTAGAGTTTAAAACCAAAACCTACTCACCATCAAAAACTGAAAAAACCTGAATTCATCTCCTAACGAGAAGGCCTCCCTACAAGAAAGTATTTCTTCTCAGCAGGTAGGACTGAAAACTGCAGAGTGAGGTACCAACACCCGCAAAAGCTAACACCAAGTCGCCAAAGAAAAGTAATTCTAATTATCTTTTCCCCACGTTCTCATGTAGAAACAAAAGCAAACGGACCTCAGCAATCCAGAGCAAGCACTGTGTAATGAACACACAAATCTGACATGGTTATTAAGCCAGGAAGAGAGACCTATTAGACAAATGTCCTCATCAATACTTCTGCGGTTCTCACTTCACAGCCTTGTGGCTACGACCGAGTGAAATACTTGCAGGCTCAGCAAAAAACAAGGCGAAACGATCTGTTCTCTCGGCTAGCCACAAATCCTAAGAGATACAGTTCTCACGTGAGGCTAAGGAACGCTTAGGAAAGTAGATTGCGGGGACATACCGCAGAAAAAGTACTTGCTCATAAAAAAAAAAACCCACAGGATGAGAAGTCATCTCCGAAATCCTGAACAGTTTGTCCCTAGGCTACTTCCACGAGACCGCTCATTACAAACACCAGGAATTCATCTCCCAGAGAGCGGGCCACATACAGCCAGCTAGGCTTTTACCCTGAGCAATGCAGCAAGGTGTATCCTGGGGGAGCAGCAGTCCACCACCACAGAAATGAGAGGTCCTCAAGACTTCGTGAAAAACACAGTAGCGGGAAAGCTATACCATGTTTTTTTTTGGGGGGGGGGCATTTTGTACCCTCAAATACTACGAGCACCCTAACGGGCAGGCCGGTCGTAGCAAGCGTCTAGCCATCCATCCCTCCACGTCCCAGATGAGTAGCATGGCAGTTTGAACTCGGACAAATCCTCAACACCACAGTAGGCCCCGTTTTGCAAAATATAAAACTGGGGTTCAGAGTTGGAGACTAGTTGCCCAGCCGCCTAGATCTAAATCCAACCCAAAGGCTTCGGCTGAGAAGACTGCTTCGTTATTTACCCTTTTCGTATGCTTTCCCCCGCTCGTGTACCGTTTACGCTCCAGAGATATCCTGCTCTCTGCTCACACTTCCCCCGTCTCAGAATGCACAAGTTCAAAAAAGGCAAGCTAATCTCTTATTTCGAGCTAAATTGGGGCGGCTGACGACTTTACGGAGCCGTATTCGCGCCACCGCGGTCCACCTACACATACCTGACCCTTGCTCGGACCTCTCGGGCCTAGACTGCCTAAAACCTCCCCCCACAATCGGGCCTCCCCTCCTGAGTGTCCGCTCTCCACATCCCCACGCCCGGGGAACTCGAGAGGCCGCTTTTTTACCCTGCAGATGTAAGGATGGTGGCGATATCCAACGGATGTCGAGTCGATTCACGCCTAAGCCAGCGTTAACGGCGAAACGCCAGCATCCGCCATTAGCCCTCTAGTTAGGGACCTACTGAGGGCGCGCGACGGAAAAAGAAATCCAATCCGCGCCTGCAACATGTGTTGAGATACATTTTAAAATGCCTCTTTCTTGCTTCCACACCGCCTTAAAACCCGTTTACGTAGACTATATGGCAGTAAGTTTTTTCTTGGATACCAGAAATACTAGACATTAAAAAAAAAAAAAAAATGCGAGTTCGTCGGGCACTGCCACGGACAGCCCCGTAGAACCGAAACGCCGACGGGGCCTCGTGGAGGCGGAAGTACCGAGCAAGATGGCGGGTGTCGAGTCCCCTCAGAAAGTACCCGCGGCGTCTCATCCTTGTGAGGGCGGGGGAGGAAGCCGCTGCTCCGAAATCTCCACCGAGCTCATTCGCTCCCTGACAGAGCTGCAGGAGCTGGAGGCTGTGTACGAACGGCTCTGCGGCGAGGAGGTCGGGAACTGAGCCTTTTTTTGTTTGTTTGTTTCTTGGGACAAGTGGGCTTTAGGACCTCTCAGTCGTGGGAAATGCAGTTCCTCTTGAGTGCAGTTAGACTGGATAGTATAGACCACGTCGCCTCATTCTCCAGGGAAGATTTGCCTTGGCTTAATGTGAAAACCACGACTTCTCATCCCGTTACCGAAGCCCTTGAAGCGCTCTTGCAGGGAAGGGTTTGAGAATGTCATTGCAGGGTTTCGGGTTCAGTGCACAACTTGTGCAAGTTTGAGCTGTCCAGTCTTGAAGAAATCTCGTCATCTCTAACCTGGGATTTTTTTTAACTAATGTTGAGCACAAAAAAAGGCAATGTCAGTCTGGGAGTGAGGAAATTTATTAATGTCACTAAATATTTTCACCTTCTGACTTGCACCAGTTTTCTGATAATGTTCCCTGGCAAGATGTATTTTAAAACTCAGTACTCTTGGTTTCACATTCCTTAGTTTGCGGTTGCTGGGTCAGCCGGCACTTTGGAGAGAAAATTAAAGTCTTACAAAAACAGTAATCTGTGCTTGTATTTGATGACGAGGGGAAGATTTTGTTTTGGTTTGTTTGTTTTTAGGTTTGTTATTTTCCATCGTACGGTTTTGTAGGCACACATATTTTCTTGTTTATTTTATCCTCATTTTATTACAGAAGTTTGGGAAAGTAGCTCTGTAGATCCTACTGGGCCTTTTTAATAAAAATGGGTAGCTAGTATTCAAGGCTTTTGTAACTGTCTGCTACATTCAGGTGTTCAACACATTGTACTTTACCCTGGGTGACTTACCTAGTTTAGGAGGTAAATATTTTTGTCTCTCTTACAGATGAGAAAACACAAGAAAGTTCCATGAAGTAAGGTAGCACAGGAAATAGCCTGAGTATTACATACATTCTAAGTGCAAAGCAGGATTTGTGTGTGTGTTTGTGTTATTATAATTGGGAAATTTTGTGCATTTAGTCATTTTTTAAAAATATTTATTTATTATTGGAAAATCAGATTTACAAAGAGAAAGAGAGACAGAAAGCTTATACTGTTTCACTTCCCAAGTGGCCACAATAGCCAGACCTGAGCTGATCAAGAGCCAGGAGCTCCTTCCAGGTCTTCCGCGCGGGTGCAGGGTCCCAAGGCTTTGGGCTGTCCTCGACTGCTTTCCCAGGCCACAAGCAGGGAGCTGGATAGGAAGCGGAGCAGCCAGGACACAAACTGGCATCCATATGAATGGGATCCTAGTGCCTGCAAGGCAAAGGCTTTAGCCTCTAGACTGTCAGGCCAGGCCCAATCATTTCATTTTAAATACCATCTTGTATTGGTCAGTCTGCTCATGAATGAATGTCTGTGTTTCCTCCCATGTGCATTGCTCACATGTTAGATGGAGCAGAAAAGGGAACAATAATGATGCAGTGTGATCAGTGGGAAAATGAACTGCTGTTCGCTCATGGCCAAAAAGAGCTTAGTGGAACTTAAGAAGTTTGAAATGGGATTTACCCCTCACTAAAAATAGTCATACCAAATGTTCTGATGACAAGAAATGTTTCTGTGTTTCAGAAAGTGGTAGAGAGAGAGCTGGACGCTCTTTTGGAACAGCAAAGCACTATCGAGAGTAAGATGGTCACTCTCCACCGAATGGGGTAAGTCTCCGGATCTTAGCAAGATCTAGCATAACTGCCAGCAGTGTTCTTTAGACAAGTTGAAAGTTTTCCTAGCTTTCTATAATGAACTTCCAATTGAGTTTGAAATGTACAAAAAAACTTATCTCAAGGAAAAATGAACAACTAAGGATCGGTGGTTCTCAGAGTCCTTGGAGCAGCAGTACCAGCATCACCACTAGACACTAGAAGTGCGTACTTTAGGATGTCACTCCAAGCTTACTGAATCACTCTGGGGATGAGGTCAGGAATTGGAGTTTTAACAAGTCTATTAAATGATTCTGGTGTACAACTGAAGTTGGAGAACCACTTTTTAATATACTTTCTATATTTGCTAGTCAGTAAAATGGTACTTTGAATTCAGCAACCTCTCAGATTGTTGGTTAATACGTGTTTTGCTCACTTAGTAATTGGGGGAATCTGCTCACTCCATATTCAGGGATGTGTTTGTAATGTTACATGTTTTTTGTTACGTATAGGTCTGTATTTACAACAAAACACTAGAAAGTTGTTTGTAGAGTGAACTGAACTATGAATTATAGGGAGAGACAAAAGAGGAAGAAATAGTTTCCATCTGCACAAGAAGCTTTTCATTCCCTGTGCCTATGGCTGTGTGAATGCTGTTATTGTATGTCTCCAGTCCCAACTTGCAGTTGATTGAGGGAGACGCAAAGCAGCTGGCAGGAATGATCACCTTTACCTGCAACCTTGCCGAGAATGTGTCCAGCAAAGTCCGTCAGCTTGACCTAGCCAAGGTAACCCCATAGAGCTCTTGATGGTTTTTAGTAGAATGCAGTAAAGAAGCCACACATTGGAGATCAGGGCAGCACCACTTAAGAGAAATTTAATACGAGCTACCAAAGCCAGATGTGACAGGAAAACTCCAAACCAATAGCTGTTACAAATATAGACTTAGAACTCCACAACAAAACACTAACAAAGCAAATCCAACAAACTTATATAAAAAAGATTATGTACCACACGAAGTGCAATTTACCTTAGCAGTGCAAGTTGCATTTAGCTTTGGAAAATTAATTAATATAATGGACTGTATCAGTAGAATGAAGAATCAAAACCACAGAATCATTTCATAGACTCAGAAAAGCACTGGACAAAAAGTTCAGTGCTCATTCACAATAAAACCACTCAGTGAGGGGCCAGTGTAATAAAGTCACTGCCAGCAATGCCAGCATCCCATAGGGCTGCCGGTTCAATCCCAAATGCACTACTTCTGATTCAGCCCTCTGCTAGTGTGCCCAGGAAAGCTGCAGAGGATGGCCCAAGTCCTTGTGCCCTTCCACTCATGTGGGAGACCCAGAAAAAGCTCCTGGTTCATAGCTTTGTCCTGGCTCAGCCCTAGCCGTTCAGACCATTTGGAGACTAAACCAGTGAGTAGAAGATCTTTCTGTATTTGCCTCTCTCTATCTGCAAATTTGCATTTCAAATAAACTAAATGCATCCTTTAAAAAAAAAATATTGGAGGGCCCAGCACAGTAGCCTAGCAGCTAAAGTCCTTGCCTTGCACCTTCTGGGATTCCATATGGGCACCGGTTCTAATCCCAACGGCCCCACTTCCCATCTAGCTCCCTGCTTGTGGTCGAGGAAAGCAGTTGAGGATGACCCAAAGCCTTGGGACCCTGCACCTGTGTGGGAGACCCAGAAGAGATTCCTGGCTCCAGCTTCGAATTGGCTCAGCCCAGACCATTGCAGCTGCTTGGGGATTGAATGGGCAAAACATCTTCCTCTCTATGAATCTTACTTTTCAATAAAAATAAAATAAATCTTTAAAAAAAATTGCTGGATAAAGCAGGAACTATATTTAGCCTTAAAATATAGTTATATATTTTATACATAAGATATAAAATATATATACATATATGAATGCAATGGATAGACTAGAACTTCCTCAGCCTGGTAAAGGGTATCTGCACCGACGTGTCACCAGCAGGTGCAACAGCCGAGCACAGCCTGGCCTGTGTCTGCTTGTCTTAAGAATGCCTACACATACTTACTTTATGACTTGGGTAATGTCATGGCCCCAGACATTGCATACCTTATGACTATATTTATATGCTTTGTAATTTTTAAAATTTTTAATATATTTTTATTTTGAATTTTGAATTACATGGTACAATTTCATATAGGCTGGGATTCCCCCCAAAACTCCTACCCCTCAACATATTTTCCCCATTTTACTACAATGGTGTAGTCCTTCATAAGGAATCATAATTCCATCAGTCTCTTATTTAAGTAAATTTTTCTTTATATACCTGAGAAGCAGAGAGTTCCATCTGCTGATTCATTTTCCAGATTCCTTAGCTATACAGGACTAGGCCAGAGCTGGGACAGGAATTCAATCCAGTTTTCCCCCATAGGTGCCAGAAAGCAAGTCACTTATGCCTTATTTTTTTTTTTTTTTTGTAAAGATTTTTTTTTTTTAATTTATTTTTATTGTTTTTTTATTGGAAAGGCGGATATACAGAGAGGAGAGACAGAGAGGAAGATCTTCTGTCCGATGATTCACTCCCCAAGTGAGCGCAACGGGCCGATACTATGCCGATCCGAAGCCAGGAGCCTCTTCCGGGTCTCCCACGCGGGTGCAGGTTCCCAAAGCTTTGGGACGTCCTTGACTGCTTTCCCAGGCCACAGGCAGGGAGCTGGAAGGGAAGCGGGGCTGCCGGGATTAGAACCGGTGCCCATATGGGATCCTGGGCGTGCAAGGCGAGGACCTTTAACTACTTGCGCCACCGCGCCGGGCCCAAGATTTATTTATTTTTATTGGAAAGTCAGATATACAGAGAGGAAGAGAGACAGAGAGGAAGTTTGTCCATGTGATGGTTCACTCCCCAGACACAACAGCTAGAGCTGAGCCAATCAGAAGCCAGGAGCCTCCGGGTTTCCCACACAGGTGCAAGGTCCCATAGCTTTGGGCCATCCTTGATTGCTTTCCCAGGCCAGAAGCAGGGAGTTGGATGGGAAGCAGGGCTGTCATGATTAGAATCAGTGCCATATGGGATCCCGGGCATTCAAGGCAAGGTCATTAACCACTATGCTCTCATGCCGGGCTCACTTGAGCTTTACTTAAGCCATCTCTGCTGCTTCCCGGAGGTTTCACTGGCCAGAAGCTGCAGTCAGGAACCAAAGGCAAGGGTTCAACTTAGCCACTCTCACATAAAATCAGGTGTCTTAACTGCTAGGCCAAGAGCCTGCTCCCCTACTTACAGATTCAGTAGGATAAGCCAAGTAGAAATACAGATTATGCCTGTTCCTGTTATGTTAAAATGAATGATTTGACCACATTAATAATATTGTATGGAACCTGTCAGAGGTCTTGGTCATCGTCACCATGACTGACAGTTTTGTGAGTGATGATGATGTTGTGAGCTTGCCACTGAAAGGTGAAGTGTACCTGTGGCTGACCAAATTCTCCTGAATCTGGAGATACTTGTTGCTTAATTATTTACTTTATTTTATTTAAAAGGAGACATAAATGGACAACACTCTTTAAGGGAAAGAAAAATGTTTATTTAAAAGGAAGTTACAGAGAAAAAGGGAGAGACAGAGTCTGCTGGTTCATTCCTGAAATGGTTACAGTGAAAAGAGCTAGGGAGTCTGAACCGAAAAGCAAAGAGCTTCTGCGTCTCCCATTTGGGTGTAGGGGCCCAAGCACTTGGGTCATCTTTCATTGCTTTCCCAGGCCCTTTAGCAGGGAGCACGTTTGGAAGTGTAACATCCAGGACTTAAAATGGCCCACATTCAGGATGCTAGCATCCGTGTCTGCAGCTTTGCCCATTAAGTCACATTGCCTACTGCCAAGCAGAGCTTGTAACTGCTGGTTCACTCCCCAAATGCCCACAATAGCCAGAGCTAAACTTGGAGCCCTATATTTAGTTGAAGTCTCTTCAGTGGTTGGCCAGAATCCAAGTACTTAAGCTTTTGCTTCAGAGAGTTTACCTCAGCAGGACACTAGAATCGGCACTGGGGGTGGAACTTGAGCCCAGACATTCTGAAATGGGATGTGGTATCCCACTGCTGTGTCAAAAGTCTAACCCTAGGAGCTGGCACTGTGATATAGCACATAAAGCAGCTGTCTGCAATGCCAGCTTATCATTTGGGCACTAACATGAGTCCTAGCTGCTCCACTTCCAATCCAGCTTCCTGCTAAAGTAGCTGAGAAAGCAGAAGATGACCCTCATACTTGGTCCCTGCACACACGTGGGAGACCTGGAAGAAACTCCAGGCTCCTGGCCCAAAATAAGACCAGCTCCAGCCATTTGAGGGGTGAACCAACATGGAAGGTTTCTCTCTCTCTCTCTCTCTCTTTTCCTCTCTGTCCCCCTCCCCCTTTGCTCTTCTGGAGTCCTTTCAAATAAGTTTTAACAGATACATACACAAAAACAACCTACTCCTGAGAGTGATTTTTTTTTTAAACACGAAGACACTATTTCTAAGCACCAGGTCTTTTTGCAGAACCGCCTCTATCAGGCCATCCAGAGAGCCGATGATATCTTGGACCTCAAGTTTTGCATGGATGGAGTTCAGACTGCTTTGAAGAATGAAGATTATGAACAGGCCGCAGCCCACATTCATCGCTACCTATGCCTGGACAAGTCAGTCATTGAGCTGAGCCGACAGGGCAAAGAAGGTCAGCATCCCTAGTGATTTCTAGTTCAATTACAAGCACTTGTAATCTGAACTTGACAAGCTCCCCAGTGAGACAACTATTAACTGACAAGTTTTCTTGTCTGCGTAGACAGTGTATACTTCCTATTCCGGCAGTGAGCAAGTGTTAGGCCCAGCTGACGGACAAGGAACTGAATCCACATCTGCTGATTGTCTGGCCAGTGATAATTTGCAGTTGCCTTAATTGCCTGTTTATAAATGAAATTCTGAGCTTGATATTTTGAGCATTTCAGGATCCTGACTCATCCTGTCTTTCTGGCTTTATTTTCTGCTATATACATTTAGGATACAAAAACTTTTTTAAAGATTTCTTTAAAGGAGTTTTTTATATATATATGTATGTGGAAAGATATATATGTAAATATGTGTGTATATATACATACATATATAAAAAGAAAGATTTTTCTGTCCTCTTGTCCCCAGATGACCACAGCAGCCCATACTGGGCCAGGTTGGCGCCAGAATCTTCCTCCAGGTCTGCTACGTGGGTGGCAGAGGGCCAAATGCTCATGCAGTCCTCTGCTGCATTTCCCAGGCCATTAGCAGGAACTGAATCAGAAAAGGAGCAGTCGGATCTCAAACTGGCACCCTTATGGCGTGCCTTGTCACAGGCAGCCAGTTTACTGGCTGTTCCACAATACTGATCCCTAGTGTATAAATATTTGTCAAGCTGGGGAAGGTATTGTTGCACTTCAGTTCAGACCACACCTGGTTCTTACCTGGCTGTTGCAGGATTTCAGGGAGTAAGCTTTCATCTCACTTTTTAAAACATTTTATTTCTGATGATGTTTACATAGTTGAGGAGGATAATTGCCCATGTTTCTATCACTTTCTGTGAAGATTTTTCTGTCACTCTGCCTTTTCAAGTAAATAAATCTTCCAAAGGAATCATTTGTTAAATAGCTGTTTATACCAAAGTATGTATCTTTGAAAAAATATATTAATTTATTTGAAAGGCAGAATTAACAGAGAAAGGAAGAGAGAAAGAGCTTCCATCCCACTGAATCACTCCCCAAATAGTCACAATGACCAGATCTAGGCTGGTCCAAAGCCAGAAACCAGGAGCTTCTTCCGGGTCTCCCAGGTGAGTACAGACCTTGAGCTCTCTTCCACTGCTTTACCAGGCTATTATCAGGGATCTAGTTAGGAAGTGGAACACCTGGGACTCAAACCAGCACCCATATGGGATGCTGGCACCATAGGTTGAAGCTTAACCTACTACACCATAATGCCTCTCCCGATGTTAAATATTATTATATTAGTAGCATGAATAATTACATATTAACTTCTCAAGCAGAGGCAGTCTATTGCAAGCACATTCTTTGCTGCCGGTTACCACAGGCTGTTTCAAGTTAGCCACAAAATTGAATACTGACACTGAATGCTGTGGAAATGCACTTTGCTCAGTAATAGTTCAGTAACTACAGTATTTCATTATCCATTTGACTGTTACAGAAAACTCCTTAGCTGTAATTGATGGTTGTTGCCGTAAAAGCCGTATTACCTCTGTTTCTCTCCAGCTGTAGTCTTTATGTGCTAGATTTGAACATCTCTGAGTCTGGGCAAGTGTACAAATCTTTTTAAAAGAACATGTTTATTTGCACAGAACTAATCAGTTTGAGAGGTTATTAATGTCCTTAAAGTGATTTTTGTGGTTGTGAAACAAATCTTGGGAGGTTGAATTGGTCCCTCTTTTATAGTACTGAAATTAAGACTGCTTAATTTAGCAAGTCATGTTCAAGCCTTCATTTTTTATATGTTTGCATCAATAAATATTGTGGTACTTGAAAAGAATTGTTACTTTTAGCTGAAAGACACAGAATACTAATAAAAAAAACACCACAGATGTGCAAAGAGAGATTTCTGTGTTCTTGTTCTCCTCTCAAATGCCCACAACTGCAATGGACCAAACCAAAGCCAACACCCTAGAAGTCAGTCTGGTTATTGCACAGGGCGCAGGGACTTGTATGCTTGAACCACCGCATGCTTCTTCCATTGATGCATGTTAGCAGAAAGCTAGACTAGACAGTGAAGCCAGGACTGGAACCAGGGCACTCAAATGAGATGCAGGCATCCTAAGGAGCCCAAGAACCAGCCCTTGTCTTGTCTATCTGTTCTGCCCTTTCTCTGTCTGTCTCTTCTCCCTCTTAATTCCTTCCGCTTCTCTGTCTCTACTCCCTTCCTCTCCCACTCCTCTGCCTCAGAAAAGAAGTTAAAAATATCTGTTTTTCGTAAGCTCTTTGAAGAATGAATTACTATTGTGCACAAAGCCTGGACCTGATGCACATTTCCTCTGCCTTGAGCAGGAAGCATGATTGATGCTAACCTGAAGTTACTACAGGAAGCTGAGCAGCGTCTTAAAGCCATTGTAGCCGAGAAGTTTGCCATCGCCACCAAGGAAGGGGATCTGCCCCAGGTGGAGCGCTTCTTCAAGATCTTCCCACTGCTGGGTCTGCATGAAGAAGGATTAAGCAAGTTCTCAGAATACCTTTGCAAGCAGGTACGGACCCTTGTGGCTTGGCAGTGTTGTGCTATGGAGCTCTACTTGCAGATGGGAGCCCAGCTGGTTCTAGTTTCTCTGGCTGCTCTCTTCTGAACATGATTCCCTTTTCTGATCTTCCTGCCATGCTGGGCAGTGTTGGATGCATGTATCCAGTCAACACATCCATCGTGAGCCTACTGTGTACCCAGCATGGCCTAGACATCAGCTGAGAAACTCTTTCTTCCAATAGGCCCAGTAAAAATAAAGGAAAAATAAAATTCAGGTTTTCTTAAAAGTGGAATCACCCTTTCCAAACTGTGAGAAATAACCAACTCTTTTAAGAGGATTTTTCTCTCTTTTTTTTAAGTTTTAAAGCAAGATTAATCAGAAGAGTTGAGAAAGAGGACTCCTGACCTAGTGACAGGAGGGGGCTTTGAGATAGAAAGGACCCTCATGCTCTGACCATAGTGGCAGGAGGGAAAGTAAAAAAGACCCCAGGTTTTTCATTAAAGAGAGTTCTTGATGAGCCTGAGTGTCAGAATATGCCGCATTGACTTGAAGGAGAGCAGGTTGCTTAGATTTCAATCCTTGGAAAGAAACACTTTGTCAGAATGTTTCAGAGTTTCCCTCCCTGACCCTTAGATGAGGAGAAGCACATGCAGCAGGCCTATATACTGAAGATGTGTTTTGTTTTGTTTTGAGATTGCTTTACTTATTTATTTGAAAGAATTACAGAGAGGAGTGACAAAGGGGAGAGTTGTTGCACCCACTAGTTTCCTGCCCCTCAAATGACTGCAACATCTAGCATGGAGCCAGGCTGCAACTGGGAGCCTGTGTCTACCACTAGGTTTCCCATATGGGGGTGCAGGGGCCCAAGCCCCAGGTTATCCTCCACTGTTTTTTCTAGAACATTAAACAGGAGCTGGAGCAGAAGTAAAGCAGCTAGGACTAAAACTGGTGGTGGCTTAAACTGTGGCACCACAACTCCAGCCTGGGCGTTTTAAATATATGTTGATAATGTGCAACTCCCTTTTGCCTCTCTCAGAAAAAGCTATCTTAGATGGAACACTACTCTGCCTTTAAGAAAAATTCAGAAAGTTTTGCAAAGGAGAGAATTCCATAAATGCTGGCGTATTTTACTCTAGCATGTCTCATGAAATTAAACAAGGTACAAAATAGTATGTTGGTCAGAGCATAATAGCCTAGTGGCTAAATCGTCACCTTGCATCTGCTGGGATCCCATATGGGCACCTGTTGTTATTCCGGCTGCTCCACTTCCCATTCAGCTCCCTGCTTGTGGCCTGGGAAAGCAGTCAAGGACGACCCAAAGCCTTGGGACTCTGCATCCATGTGGGAATCCAGAAGAAGCTCCTGGCTCCTGGGTTCAGATCAGCCCAGTTCCAGCTGTTGTGAGAAATGAACCAGTGGTACATATTATTTTTGATGATGTTTACATAGTTGATTGGGGAGGAAGTGTCAAGGATCAGGGAAAAGTGGGTGAAATTATTGCTTACGCATTTTCTTTTTCTTCTTCGTGTACCTGGGAGAGGCAGGAGTGTAAGGGGAGAAACCATCCCCAGCCTCCCAACCACTTCAATACCTGGGGCTGAGGAAGGCCACCCAATGTTATCCTAGGGTCCCCATTGTGGAGCATGTTTGAGGGTTCTGCTCAAGTGGTTTCAGTAGTTCTGAGATGTTTTTGATATTGCTGCTCCAAGGATGAGGAAATGCTTCCAAGGTCAGTTGGCTGACGTAGTCCACTTCAGAGTCTCCATCTGCCCAGAAATTTGCTGTCAAGCTTTGCTGGGTAGTTGATAAATTTGTCTGCCTTCCTTCCTCTGCAAACCAGTGGGTGCTACAGCCCAGACCAGTCTTGCCCACCACACACTCTGGCCCTCACGTACACCAGGGGGAGGTATAGCCCAGTTAAAGCAAACCGCAGTAACCCTCACTGGACTGGCCTCCAGCTCTGGTTCCTGTCCCTACCAGCATGTGCAATGGACTGATCCAGTCTGTACCACTTGCCATTCAGATCTTATATGCTTCGTTGGGTATTGAAACCTAACTTGACTCAACTGATTCCACCCTCCAGCTCCCATTCGTGCCATGGGTGTTAAAATCTTTTTAAAATGATGATAATAATAATAATAATCTGTCATTACTGTTACATGCAGGGACAGACCTTTATCATAGTTAAGTCAACATTGAAAAGTTGGTATCCCATACTAAAGTGCCTGATTGAAGCCCCAGCTTCCTGCTAACACTTACCCTGACAGGCAGCCACTGAAGGTGCACGTACTTGGATCCTTACTCCCCATGTTGGAGACCCAGATTAAGTTTCTGGCTCCTGGCTTCAGCCTGGCAAGCCCTGGTTCTTTTTGTTTATTTGTTCTTTAAAATCCATTTATTTATTTGAACATAAGAATTAAAGAGAAGCTGGGAGAAATATATGCTGAAGGGCCTGGTGTGGTAGCCTGGCAGCGAAAGTCCTTGCCCTGCATGTACCAGGATCCCATATGAGCACCGGTTCTAATCCTAGTGGCCTCATTCAGCTCCATGCCTATGGCCTGGGAAAGCAGTCAAGGATGGCCCAAAGCTTTGGGACCCTGCACCCACATGGGAGACCTGGAAGAGGCTCCTGGCTGGTGGCTTCAAATTGGCTCAGCTCTGGCTGTTACAGCCACTTGGGGAGTGAATCAACAAACAGAAGATCTTCCTCTCTGTTTCTCCTCCTCTCTGTAAATCTAACTTTCCAGTAAAAATAAAATAAATATGTTTTTTAAAAAAAAGGAAATATATGCTGATTCACTACCTAGATGTCTGCCAAGAGCCAGAGGCTTTGGAAAATCTCCCACGTGGTGGCAGGGGCCCAGACACTTGGGCCATTTTTGCTGCTTTTTTCCAGATAATTAGCAGGGAGCTGGATAGGAAGTAAAATATCCAAAATTTGAACTAGCACCCATATGAAATGCCAGGCCCCAGCCCCTGCAGTGGCTATTAGGGGCATTTGAGGATTGTGCCTGTGAATGGAGGATTTCCCTCTTTCTTTCTCTCTCTGCCCTTCAAATAAAGTAGAAATAGATAAAATTAAAGAATTTGCAATGAAGATAAATTCTTGCATAGTATAGACTATTTTGGGAAGGGAGAATTAGAAGCTTAACAGACATAGGTGAGAAGTCCCACCTGGCTGAAAACTTCTTTATTCTTTCTGAACATTGAAGAGTGTTTTACCCATTCTAAAAATTTAACTAAAAATCTTTAAATAATGCTTTTATGATTTTTTAAGCAGTTGTTTGCCACCTGAGACGTAGAAATGAGTTCTCTCCTCTCGTGGCACCCAGGTTCCTTTTCTGGCTCAACAAAGCACTTGTACTGGTAGCAAATTACATTGTGAGAAGGTTTCCAGGACCAAGGACTCTGTCCCTTTGCTAATGGCAGTCTGTGTCTCAAGGGGAAGAGGACACTGGCACAGTGCCCAGGTTCCTTGTCCTGCATGAGGGCAGCTTGCCCCACGCTACCTGGGAAACATCAGGAAAAGGAAACCAGTGGGAGATGCGCTCGGACACTGAGCTGTTCTTGGTGCAAGCTGTGGCTTCAGTCTAAAATACATGTGGATTTTTTTCCTTTGGTAGGTGGCCAGTAAAGCTGAAGAGAACCTTCTGTTGGTGCTAGGGATGGACACGAGTGACCGAAGAGCCGCAGTCGTCTTTGCAGACACACTCACTCTCTTGTTTGAAGGCAAGCTCTTCCTCCACTTGAGGGAGACTACAGAGGTTCCTGTGTAACACTTGCATGCTACTCTTTCTTTTCACCCTTCTAGTTTGATGTGTTTATTTTAATCCTATAGTTTAATGTGTTTCAGTTTATTGGAAAGTTAGCTTTCAGATTTAGTGGATTGTTAGGAAAGATTACTCTCTGGTATTTCTGTCTTGTCTAACTGAAAACCCAATGTTTATGGTAAATTCAACCTTAAAATTAGTTACCAGAGAATGATGTTAATTTCCAAACACGATGCAAAATGACATATATTACTTCCCATGTGCCTACTAGTATACATTGTGCATATTTAACAAACAAATATGCCTGGCAATGTCTACCACTCACAGGGCAGTTTTATGTTCTTTTGGGAAGTAAAGCAACAAAAAAGGATTTGGTTAGACTCTGCATTAGTCTTGGCTGGGAGAAAGAAATCTATCTTGTAATGCAGATGTTTGAAAGCCAACCTTCTCATGTCCTTACAGGGATTGCCCGTATTGTGGAGACCCACCAACCCATCGTGGAGACCTACTATGGGCCCGGCAGACTTTTTACCCTGATCAAGTATCTTCAAGTGGAATGTGACAGACAAGTAGAGAAGGTGGTAGACAAGTTCATCAAGCAGAGGGACTACCACCAGCAGGTGAGTGTGGGGAGCAACAGGCCATTCAGAGGTGCCTGCAACCAGGCACACTGAATAAAAAGTGGAAAAGAACAATGCAAGCAGGAAAAAGCAAATTCCACATGCAATCTGACCTCTGAATTTTGCCTGTCACCAGCTAGCTTCCAGCTGGAGGTGTTGAACGATGATGGCTTCAGTGCTGAAGGAACGGAAAATGTTAGACCAGTTATAGAAACAGTGCCGCCTGTCAACAGAATGAGAATTTTGTTTCCCAAAGTTACATTGGGAACTTTCTCCTTTCTTCCTTAAGTATAAAATGTTTGTCAAAATGTTATTTTTTCATCCTTTTAAGCAGAAAAACTATTACATTGAAATAGGAGAGACCTTAAAATTCTAGGACCCCAAACTAGGAGACTATAGACAGCAGTCATTGGAACATCATTAGCATTACTTGAAGCACAGTAATGGGGTGAGCATTAGCACACAAACTGGAAACAAATCTTTGGCCCATCATCCTGAAAGCCCGTGTCTGAACTAAAGGAAGGGCAAACCTAATGAGCACACCAGACCTGAAGCCAAAAGCTTGCGATGACCACCAAGAGCATTCTCATTTCTGTTTTATGTTGCAGTTCCGCCAGGTCCAGAACAACCTGATGCGAAATTCTTCAACAGAAAAAATTGAACCAAGGTAATAATCCTGTTTTCTTCCGCGTATGAAAGTTTGAATTATTACTCCTCATCTATCCAGTGGAGACACTACTGTACAGCAGTGTGCTCTGTGCTTTTCTGGCACTCTTTCAACTGCTCTTGTTTCATAGTGGAAGATCTGTAAACACAGAAGTATAGTTAACACATGTGGTTCATAAGTAAAGGATCTTTGCTGGAAGCTTTGACGCATCCAGATTGGTTCCCCTCCTTTTACTCCCACGATAGCTATTATCAAATTTCAAACTTTTTTTTTTTTGTAATACAAGTAATGGTTTACTTATCAAAAGGAAATGCAAACATAAAAATTTACTCAAACTTTTAGAAAGTACACAGCATGTGTTAGTCTTTCACGTGGCAACTAGCAAAATGAGCTAAACAGACATAACTTTTTTTGTAGCATCTGTGGTCTTTTAAGAAGATACTAATAATAAATAACCCATCTAGGTTGTGTATTATATGCCACATACAGTTCTAAGCATGTAACCATTATCAAATCTTTTAAACCAAGAGTTCGTTCTTTATTTTCACATTTTCTTTGTTTTTTTTTTAAGAATTATTTATTTTTAGTGGAAAGGCAGATATACAGAGAGGAGGAGAAACAGAGAGGAAGATCTTCCAATTGATGGTTCACTCTCCGAGTGGCTGCAATGGCTGGAGCTGAGCCAGTCCGAAGCCAGGAGCCAGGAATCTCTTCCAGGTCTCCCATGTGGGTGCAGGGTCCCAAAGCTTGGGGCTGTCCTTGACTGCATTCCCAGGCCACAGGCCGGGAGCCGAATGGGAAGCGGGACCGCAGGCATTAGAACCGGCACCCATATAGGATCCTAGCGTGTTCAAGGTGAGGACTTTAACTCTTACTCTATTGCACTGGGCCAATTTTCACATTTGTTTTAATATACTTGAAATGCAGAACAATAGACAGAGATGGCCACAATGGCCAGGACTAAGCCAGCCAAAGCCAAGAACCTGGAACTCCGTCCACTTCTTATACATGGGTGGCAGGAACCCAAACTCATGAGCCATCTTCCTCTGCTTTCCCAGGCGCTTACACTTGGAGCTGAATTGAAAATAAAGCGACTTGGGCCTAGCATAGTAACCTAGCAGCTAAAATCCTTGCCTTGCATGTGCTGGGATCCCATATGGTTGCCGGTTCTAATCTTAGTGGCCCCGCTTCCCATCCAGCTCCCTACTTGTGGCCTGTGCTAGTTGAGGACAACCCAAAGCCTTGGGACCCTGCACCCACATGGGAGGTCCTGAGGAGGCTCCTGGCTCCTGGCTTTGTACTGGCTCAGCTCTGGACGCTGCAGCGACTTGGAGAGTGAATCAGCAGACAGAAGATCTTTCTCTTTGTCTCTCCTCCTCTCTGTATATCTTACTTTCTAATTAAAATAAATAAATCTTTAAAAAAATAAATAAAATAATAAAGTGACCAGGATTTGAATAAAAGCCCATATAGGATGTGAGCATAGCATGTGGCTCCTTAATCCACTGCCGCACAGTACCAGCCCCCAAGTCAAGGTTTCTCCAGTTCATTATTCTGTTCTGTGTGGCTGAGTAATTTTTTTCTCTTTAGTCTTTGGTCAGGCAAAGAGGCACAAAAAGACAAGTAGATAGAAATCTCACATCTTCTGGTTTACTCCCCAAATGCTCACAGTGGCCAAGACCGGGCCAGGCCAAAGCTAGGAACCAGGAATTCTGTCTGATTATCCCATATGAGTGGCAGTGACCTATATTACCCACTATCATCATCAGGAAGCCAAAATCAGAAACAGAATTGGGCCCGGTCGTGTGACCTAGTGGCTAAAGTCCTCACCTTGAACGCGCCAGGATCCCATATGGGTGCCGGTTCTAATCCCGGCAGCTCCGCTTCCCATCCAGCTCCCTGCTTGTAGCCTGGGAAAGCAGTTGAGGACAGCCCAAAGCTTTGGGACCTTGTACCCCTGTGGGATACCAGAAGAGGTTCCTGGATCCTGGCTTTGGATCAGCATAGCATCGGTCATTGCACTCACTTGGGAAATGAATCATCAGATGGAAGATCTTCCTCTCTGTCTCTCCTCCTCTCTGTATATCTGACTTCCCAATAAATAAATAAATCTTAAAAAAAAAAAAAAAAAAAAAACAGAAAAAGAAACAGAATAGGACTGACCCAGGCACTATGATTGGGAATGCCTCAGAACCTCAACTTACTATGCCAAATCCCTGCCACTGGCTGGGTAATTCTTTGTTATAGTGGAACTATTCTGTACATTGTAGGATGGTTAGTGGTATCCTGGCATCTACCCCATTATGTGCTCGTAGTCTCCTGTGTCAAAATTGCTGAGTTGGAAATCACTGATTTAGCCCATAACCATTGTTCATAGGAAGAAGCCTGACAGCGTTGAGTGACTTACCTGAAGGCGGACAAATGGACAAGACAGAGCCAGAGATAGATCCCACAGAGTGTGTAACTAGAGAGTTTGTTCTGTCAATGACTGTGGTACATTGAGTGGTGTTCTAATATGTCACCGTGACATAGTAAGAGCATGTGGTAAGGGGACGTTCAAGGAAGATTTTCTGAAGAAATGACCTTAGATCTAAATTCTAAGGAGTAAGTAGGGGGTTCTGGCATGATAGCTTATTGGCTAAATCCTCACCTTGCAAGCCTAGAATCCTGTATGAACACCAGTGTGTCCCAGCTATTCCATTTCCCATCCAGCTCCCTGCCTGTGACCTGGGAGGGTGGTGGAGGATGACACAAAGCTTTGGGACCTGGCATCAACGTACAAAAGCCAGCTGGGCTTCTGGTTGCAGATTGACTCAGCTCCAACCTTTGCAGCCATTTGGGGAATGAGTAGGCGGACAGATCTTTCTATCTGTATAGCCTTCTTTTATAAGTCTGCCTTTCCAATAGAAAAAAAAAATAGATCTTTAAAAAAAAGTAGGGAAATAAATTAAAGAAGTTGCAGATAAAATAGAGAAACCTTGTATGGAAGTCCTGAGTCCGTGATTTACCAGCAGAAGAGCATGAAATGAAGTAAATGTGGAGAGTCATTCAGGAGCTTGTACCCTAAGAGGTATGGAAGCCGTAGGATAAGGCCTGACTGATGTTTTGTTTTGTTGATAATTTTTTTTACTTTTATTGAAAAGTCAGATATACAGAGAAGAGGAGAGACAGAAAGGAAGATCTTTTGTCTTCTGATTCATTCCCCAGGTGGCGACAATGGCTGGAGCTGAGCAGATCCAAAGTAAGGAGCCTGCAGCTTCCTCCAGATCTCCCACACGAGTGCAGGGTCCCAAGGCTTTGTGCCATCCTCAGCTGCTTTCCCAGGCCACAAGCAGGGAATTGGATGGGAAGCAGGGCTGCCAGGATTAGAACCAGCAGTCATACAGGATCCTGGCACATGCAAGGCTAGGACTTTAGTTGCTAGGCTACTATGCCGGGACCCTGACTGATGTTTTGAAAGCATCTCTTTGACCTGAGTGTACAGAGGGAATTAATTTTCACATATAATATGAGGTAGACAGTCAGCCATTCTTTTTAAATGGCAGTCAGTTGGGGGGAATCCCCAGTGCCTATAAAACTGTATCACATAATACAATGTTAATAACAATAAAAAAAAAAGAAAGAAAAAAAAATGGCAGTCAGTTGTCCCAGCGCAATTTGTTGAAAAGATCATTTTTTCCCTGTGGATTTGTCTTAGCACTCAAGGTAAAAAGTCAGTAGGCCATCTGGGCTCTCAGTTCTGGTCCACCAATCCTTAAGTCTGTGCTTAAGCCAGAACCACATAGTCTTGATTGTTGTCGCTTTGCAGTAATTTTTGAAAATCAAAAAGTGTACCTCCTCCAGCCTTGTTTTTTCCAGATCTTTTGGTTACTCATTGGGATAAATATATGGGAGACACCACTTATGGGGCTAAAGAAGCATTTTCTTGATGTAAAGCATAATTTCCACTTAGCCCACCCTTTGGTATTCACATATCCCTTATCAGAGTGCCAGTTCAATCCAGCTTCCTGCTAACGTATCCTGGGAGGCAGCAGAAAGAGGGGTCAAGTGCTTGGATCCCCACTATTCACAAGGAAACCTGGATGGTTGACAGCTGTGCTGGGTGGCCAGACAGCAGAGCGCAATGACCGTTACAGAGCTGACCCCTTATGGGTCATTTGGGGAGGGAATGTTAGGGACTAGGTTGTCCTGAGTGCTTATATCTGAGTGAATCCAAAGTCCTTCTCATTTCTTCTGCTTCATGTGCCACAGGGAACTGGACCCCATCCTGACTGAGGTCACCCTGATGAATGCCCGCAGTGAGCTATATTTACGCTTTCTCAGGAAGAGGATCAGCTCAGATTTTGAGGTGGGGGACTCCATGGCCTCAGAAGAAGTAAAGCAAGGTAAAAGATGTTTCTCGCAACTCTGAACAGGCTACTTGTGTAGTGGGCACTCTTCTGTAAGAATGACGTCATTATCTCTGACTAGGGAGACAACTGGGGCTTGTTAGTAGCTTACGTCTGTGGGCAAATTGACTTCTGGGAGGAAATCTTAATATATACCACATTTCAGAATTGACCTGGACCTTTGAGACCATATAATCATCTTACAAAGAAGGAAATCTCATGCCAGTGTTAAATTACTTTCCTCAGCTCTTTACCCCACAGCATATTTACCAGTTTCAGTTTAACCATTTATTGCTCAATTTTAGGAGGGGAAATGCACACATGATAAATAATTTGAACAATACAGAAACTTACAGATAAATGCAGTAGGGAACTTCTGGGAATGTTAGAGATATTTTAACACTGGATTGTAGCTATTGTTGCACAAATGTATAAATTAGACAAGTAAAATGAGTGAATTTTTTTGGAATGTAAATGATACCTCAAACTTGTTTCTTACGATTTTTGTGAAGATTTATTTATTTATTTGAATGGCAGAGTGACCAGGATCTTTCATCCACTGGTTCATTTCCCAAATGGTAGCAGCAACAGCCAGAGCTGGGCCAGGCTGAAACTAGGAGCCTGGAATCTATGTTTCCTACGTGAGTGGCAGGAAGTCAAGTATTTGAGCTGTCATCTGTCAACATCCCGTGCACATTAGCAGTCAGCTAGATAAGGAGTCAGGTCTTCAACGAGCACTGCAGTGTGAGATGTGGGTATTCCAGGCCATGCTAACCCCTCTGCACCACAATTCTTGGCCCTTCAGTAAACCTGTTTTATAAAAAGAGCAAATAATATGAAGGTCTCACACCTGCTCCCAGTTTCACTAGCTGCAACTTCTGAAGAGATTGATGACTTTGAAACAAAAAATATACCATGGCCACTTACACCACTTACAGATTAACTCTCCGGTGTGGCTCATGTTTACGATAGTAGTAGCTGTTGGTCAGAGCTGGAGCTACATGTGACTATTAAATTTCAAATTTAATCAGAAGGTTTTTTTTCAATCCAGTTAACCACATTTCAAGTGCTCAGTCGCTGCTACTGCCAGTAGCTTCTCTATATGGTATCTTGTAGATCTTCTCACTCCTATTACAGACTAAGTATTCCTTCTCCAAGATGCTTAGGAACAGAAATGTTTTGTGTTTCTTGAGTGTTTAATCATAATGAGATATCTTGAGGATGGGACTCAAATCTAAAACAAGAAATTTATTAATGTTTTAGTGTGGTGATATTTTGACTGTGAACACTTGCATGAGGTCAGGAATACAACGGTTCACTTATGGCATCATTGTCAGTGCTCAGAGTTTTAGATTTCAGGGCCAGCGTGTTAGCTCGGTTGGCTAATCCCCCACCTCCAAGTGCTGGTATCCCATGTGGTCGCTGGTTTGTGTCCTGGCTGCTCCACTTGCCATCCAGTTCCCTACTTATGCCCTGGGAAAGCATCAGAGGATGGCCCAACATCTTGAAAATTCCTGCGCCCAGGTGGCAACCTGGAAAAAGCTCCTGATCGGCTCAGCTCCAGCTGTCATGGCCATTTGGGGAGTGAACCAGCAGATGGAAGAGCTTTCTGTTTGTCCTCTGGAAATCTGCCTTTCCAATAAAAGTAAATAAATCTTTTTTTAAAAATCCACTTTAGAATGTGTCAGATTTCAAGATCAGAGATGTTCAGCCTATACTTAATACTGGAAATACAATAAAAATTTTTGTACAATAGTGCTCACTGTAAAGTCCACATACTATGATCTCCAATTGCCTTTAATTACAAAACATTTAGAAATAATCTGAATGTCTAAAAATAGGAGTTGTTGAAAATATAAGTTATCCACCTAATATGCCACGTAACCATTATAAATCACAAAAAATCCCACAAGAGATATGTAGAATATTTATGAAATAACGTTTAGAGCAGAATATGAAAGTGTCTGTACTATGATCATAATCATGTAAAAATTAGAAAGGAGTCTGAGAAAATGAAAAGAATTGCTATTTCTCGTGGGGAAGAAAAGTGAGTGTTCCTTTCTTGACTGTCCCCTAGAGCACCAGAAGTGTCTGGACAAACTCCTCAATAACTGCTTACTGAGCTGTACCATGCAGGAGCTCATTGGCTTGTATATTACCATGGAGGAGTACTTCATGAGGGAGACTGTCAATAAGGTAGGACATAGGAAACATGTCTCGGAAATGGGGCTTCCTCTCCAAGTAGCCAGCCTGAAGGAACCGACTGAGACCTGTCATTCTTGGTCTTGCTTTGTGAGACTGTTGCCTGCAGACTGAGTGGCACTGCTTTGTGTGGTGACAAGTGACATCTTGGAGTTCTTTGTATTTCCAGCTGAAACTCCTTTCCCAAGGTTTAGCAAAGAGCAGTTCAGCTCCTCGGTGAACCTACGTGTCCCCTGCCTCCCTGGAGGTGGGCATGGGTGAGGCATCTCTGGGAACTTGGCCTCAGCTGATGACTTTGATCCCAGCTTATGGATCTCCCCATGGTCAAAGCCCTAGAAATTGAATCTGCTAACAGTGATCAATAGGGAAGCTCTTTTGGCAAGGATTTGCACCAAGCTATGATGAAATAAACCATACTAAATAGGATATAGAACAGGCAGCAGAGCCAGTAATCAGTACAGTAAACAGAACTGTGTAAACAGAACAAACCAGGAGGCACAATGACGCGGGCTTGGAAACCTTACTAGATGATCTGTCCCTTGGATAGGCTGTGGCACTGGACACCTATGAGAAGGGTCAGTTAACTTCCAGCATGGTGGATGATGTATTCTACATTGTTAAGAAATGCATTGGGCGAGCTCTGTCCAGTTCCAGCATCGACTGCCTATGTGCCATGATAAACCTCGCCACCACAGAGCTGGAGTCTGACTTCAGGTACGATTGGCTCTTTCTCCTTTCTAAACACAAAGCTCCTGGTTTTGTTGACTTGTGAGATCCATTTATTTCTACTTTTTTTCCCCTTGTGCTTCTAGTTCGACAGCAGGGTTGAGGCTCCTGTTCCTAGCATAGCATCCTTGGTCCCAACCATCTGTCCAGATCCTGGATATCTTTAGGGTTCATTTTCTGCTCTGGGTTGCACTGAAGAGATTCTTAGCCCTCACATCTGGGAAAGAAAAAGGCGATTCAGATGAAACCAGGCATTGTAATGGCAGTAATCATTCGCGCTGTTAGAGGCCAGGCACTGTGTGCTCTCTGGCTCTTTACCTTAGGATATAGGCACTATTTGCTTTATCTTATAGATGTGGAAACTGGAGCTTCAGAAGGTGCCATTCCTTGAATCACATACCCACTTAAGTGGTAGATATCCAAGTCCAGACCTGACTGACTGAAAATCCAATCTCTCTAGTGTGAAACTTGCTTTCACAGAATTGTACCACCTCCTCTTTGTTGGAGCTCAGTGTGATAACAGAAAGCCTCCTATGAAGTAAAGAATCAGCCCATCGCCTCTGTTCCTGTCACGTCAGTGTCCATGAGGAGTGTAGGCCACTCTTACACGCTTACTCCTGGAGTCTCCCACAGGATTCTCAAGCACTGATTGTTCTTCCAGAAGAACATTGGATGTTAATGTTGCTGTGTCAGGGTGGTGGGTGCTGTCGTCCTGCTGACCCAGAGGCTGGGTTGAGCGCTGCCATTCTGCCCACAGGGATGTTCTGAGTAACAAGCTGCGCATGGGCTTCCCAGCCACCACCTTACAGGACATCCAGCGTGGGGTAACAAGTGCCGTAAACATCATGCACAGCAGCCTTCAGCAGGGCAAGTTTGACACAAAAGGCATTGAGAGCACTGACGAAGCCAAGCTGTCATTCTTGGTAGGTAACCCATGGGTGGGGAACTGGATCAGTTTGTCCTGAGGAATTAAGTAATGATCCCTGAATCATAATATGATTGGCCTTGAGCTGGGGACTCGTCCAGTATCTATATAAAAGGAAAGCTCTTCTTTTTGAATATTTATTTTAGTTTTTTGAAAGGCAGAATTAGAGAGAGAGAGACAGAAAATATCTTCCATCCCTTGGTTCACTCTGCAATGGACAGTCCAAAGCTAAGAGCCAGGATCATCTTCCAGATCTCACACAGGGGTGCACGGGCCCACAGATTTGGGCCATGTTCCACTGCTCTTTCCCAGGATGTTAGCAAGCAGCTGGTTCAGAAGTGGAGCAACCAGGATTTAAACTTGTACCCATATGGAATACCAGCACTGCTCACAGCACTTCATCCACTACACCACAGCACCAGCCCCTCTCCTGGTTTTTTTCTTTACAGCTTATTAAATCTAATCCTTTCCACCTTTCCAGTCCTCTTTCCCACACTGCTCATCTGTCTTATCCTGTAGGCTGGCCAACATGTGTGAGGTCACTTGCTGCTCTCATGAGGACCTCTCACTCAGCTTGTTTAAGAGCCCAGAAGATAAGAACAAGAGAGGTGATGCTAAATGCTTGGTGACAGGTTTCGGCTTTACTGACATTAAGTACTTAAAATGTCATCACTCTTACTATAGGACCAATTTTTTATGTCTCCTTGATTCATTTGGCTGTCAAGACAAATTTCCCAACTATACTGACATATCTATCAGTTGCCATAAGCAGGATAAGCCCAGTAAGTCTGGCTTACAACTACTGTCAGTACAAAGGAAACTAGAATCGATAGTGTTTGAAACCAAATCTATTTCCCCCTGTGACAGTTCCCCTGGGTGCCCTCAAATGCTTGGAAACATTCATGTGTGGCCTTCATCCTTCAGCTGTCAGGACAGTGCAGTTGTTTCCCTGGAAGCCTGTTGTGTTAGCCGTTGTGGGCCTTATCCATCCATATGGCAGCTTAGCCATTGTCAGGATGACAACATCACTGCTGGCTGCAGCGCTAAGCACTCAGGGACGTCAGGGATGTTGAGATTTCCTAATCTCATTCCCTGGGGCCCGGGGGTGCAGTGTCTCCTCTGAAATGCTCAAGTGTGACTAATGGATGTGTGTGTGTATGTGTATGTAAGTAATTGGAAAGTCAGTTATACAGAGAGAAAGAGAGACAGAGAGGAAGATCCTCCATCCGCTGGATCACTCCCCAAGTGGCCACAACAGCCAGAGCTGAGCCAATCCAAAGCCAGGGGCCAGGAATTTCTTCTAGATCTCCCATGCGGGTGAGGGTCCCAAGATCTTGGGCTGTCCTCGACTGCTTTCCCAGGCCACAAGCAAGGAGCTGGAGGGAAAGTAAGTAGAGCAGCCAAGATACAAACTGGTGCCCGTGTGGGACGCCAATGCCCATTTGGGATTGGGCATTAGCCGCTAGGCTAATGCTAATGCACTAGGCCTGTTTATTTATATCTAAAGACATAATTATTTGAAAGGCAGGGGTTAATGAGAGACAGAGAAATTGAGATCTTCCATCACTGGTTCACAAAGAGTCATATTGGATGGCCTATGCTGTGGCATCAGAGGTCAAGCCCTTGGGACACCTGGAGAGTGAACCAGCAAATAGGTCCTCTGCATCTATGTCTGTCTGTGTCTCAAATAAATACACTTTTTTCTTAAAAGGAAACAGGAAAGGGCCCAGTGCTGTGGCACAGTGGGTTACCTGTGGTGCTGACATCCCATATGAGTACCAGTTCAAATCCTGGCTTCTGCACTTCCAGTCCAGCTGCCTGCCAATGAGTTATGAAAGCAGTAGAGGACAGCCCAAGACCTTGGGACCCTGCAGCCACATGGGAGACCCAGAAGAAACTCCAGGCTCCTGGCTTCAGGGCCCAGCTGTAGCTGTTTGGCCATTTGGGAACTGAACCAATGAATGAAAGATCTCTCTAAATATGTAACTCTGCCGTTCAGATAGACTAATCTTACAAAGATTATAAACTTCACTTCCGTTTCCTTCTTTTAAAATTATGCATTTATTTAAGAGACAGAGTTATAAAGAGAAAAAGAGATATCTCCCATTTGCTGGTACATTCCCTAAGTGACCAGGCTAGGCTGAAGCCAGGAACCCGTAATTTCATATGAGTTTCCCATGTGGCAAGTAGAAGCCGAAATCCTTGGGCCATCTTCCACTGCCTTCCCAAATCCAGAAACTGGATTGGAAGTTGAATAACTGTGACTGAAACTCAGCATTCATATGGGATGCCAGTGTTTGCACATAGTGTTTTAACCCGCTGTACCGCAATATCAACCCCCCAAATTTGGCTAGTTGCACTAGCCATATTTCAGGTGCTCAAGTGCCACACATGACTGTGGACTGGCATTCTGAACACTACCGATTTTCATGGTAGTTACGATGCTCATTTCCCAAACTGGAGTATTGGTTTGCTATCCAGCTGCAGCTTCTAACTCCTCACTTCCTGCTGATGCAGATCGTAGGAAGCAGAGGTGATTTCAAGTAATTGGGAACCTGCCTCCCATATGGGAAACCCAGGTGATTGAGTTTTAGTTCCCAGCTTCCACCCAGTCTAGTCCCAACCCTCTGACATCTGGAGCTCTGTATCTCTTTTGTGCCTCTCAGATTTTTTTCTTACAAGGAGAAAGGAAAGCTGGGCAGTGCTGTAGTACACAAACAGCACTGAAGATGACAGGAAGATCTCTGCCTTCATTGGATCTCATTCTAGTGGAAAAGCTAGACAGGAAACAAATAACCAAGGAATATCCTAAATTACATATTGTCATGTAAAACAGATAGTGAACTAGGAAGAGGCTGGTGGGGTGAGGTGTCCTCCCCTCGACATCAGGATGACGTCCTGATCTTGTAACTTAGCCACCAGCCCTGCCCTGTATCCTTGCTTGACTGTACAAGACCAGAGCAGTTTTTCTATCCTCTAAATAGCCATCACAGTCTGCGCCTTAATTGTTACTTTTATAACAGGCTGTATTTCATTATTGGACTTCAGTAATATAGGTGACTTGGCAAAGAAGGAGCCATTGAGTGGCAGCAATGGGATTCTAAATTTTGCTCAAGCTTTGTGACCTTGTCACTCTGAATTTCTGTCCCTATATCTGCATTTTGTCAAATGCCCGTACTTGTATCTAACTTCCTTTCTGGAATGTCAACATTAAGAGAGAGGAGGGTTTTAGGGGTTGTTGACTGTGTTCTCCCCGGAGCCTGGCACGTCACAAGCACTCAGTAAATATTTGCTGAGTCTATTGTTGGTGCACGTGGTGAACTGTTTTACCTTTTGAGGAGTCTCATTTCCTGCTACGAACTGGGTTTGATAATACTTATGTTGTGGGGGTGTTTGGCAGGGTCATTGAGGTAACAGATGAGAACATGCTTCACGGGTGGCTGCCTGGAAGCCTTTTTGAATGAATGTCAGACCTTGCATCCTGGGCTTGGCAGTTTAGAGCCACAAGACTTAGGCTAGACTTGTGTGCCAGAGCCATCACCAGTCTGTAGGTAGCATAGAGCAAAAAGACCTGAAGACTGGCTTACTGCCTCTGAGGTCTCAAGGACATCATGACCTTCTTGTCAGGGTCAACTGGAAGCCTGAGGCTGGCTCACTACTATTCTTCCTGACCCAAGATCCAAACATGTTGCCTGGTGACAGTGGGACAGGTTTTCCTTAGCTTGCAGCTGCACTCCAGCCAGCCCTCCTGGGAGACTGCTCACTGCAGCTGTCAGACAGTGTGGCATTGCAGTAGGCAACGAATGATAGTGCAGGAAGCCATATTCTTCCTTCATCTCCTAGGTGACTCTGAACAACGTGGAAGTCTGCAGTGAAAACATCTCTACTCTGAAGAAGACACTTGAGGTACAGGAGAAACTGTCAGCTTCCAGTGGCCCTCCATACACTCATCCTTGGGGACTAGATGTGCTCTGACAGGAAACCACATTGCAAGGATGCAGTGCCAGTCAGCATGGCAGCGCAGTAACAGGAGAGCACTGGCAGATGAGTTGGAAGATCAAAAGTAAATTGGATCTTCCATCACATATTTGGCATGTGATCTTGGACAAGTGCCTTAAGTCTTTAAGCCTCACTGGGTTCTGTCATCAAGTAAAATACAGATCTCCATCTTGTGCTGCTTTGGTTTCTCAGGCCACCCAAACAGGTTGATAGCATTTTATAACAACGTCTTATATGACAAAGACTAAATCAGGACTTGAGCCTAAGAAAATCTTCCTCCAAAGCCATGAAAAAAAAGTCTAGTATTTTGTTTTTACATTCCCCAGGAGGAGGGGAAGCTCCATGGGGAGCCATGGAGTTTTCCAAAGCCCTGCCAAGGTTCTTGCTGATGCCAAGAAGGCTTAAGGAAGAGAAATGGCCAGCAGTGGTTTACTCATTCTGCCATGACCCAGGCACGCTGGTTAGTCTTACAGCAGTATTCTTCCCTAGAGTGACTGCACCAAGCTGTTCAGCCAAGGTATTGGAGGGGAGCAGGCCCAGGCCAAATTTGACAGCTGCCTTTCTGACTTGGCTGCCGTGTCCAACAAATTCCGAGACCTCCTGCAGGTAAGCCCCAGCTTCAGCTGTTAAGTGAGTTCTGAGCCTGTGGGTTGCTCGGAGAAGACTGTGAATTTGCACTTTGTGGGTTCCATTGTGGAGGAGGAGCAGGGAGGGGGGGTGACAGAGCAGCATGCAGAGTTGCACAAATCCCTTGAGACCAAAGACTCCTTTCATGTTTGTCATCAGTGCATTTGTACCATTTGACGAGCCATCTGGTCTCTAGAATCTCCACAATGACAAGCCCTCAGAAGCATGCTCAGAAGAAACAGGTTACCTTAACCTGCTGCCTGGCCTAGCCTAGGTGTTGCCTACCACCAGCTAAACTTGAGAATTGGCTTCAGGGCCTCATCTCTACCCTAGACCTGGATCAGGAAAGATCTTGAAAAGGATATTGTTTTCAGCTTCTTTCATCAGCAATACCTGTTGGTTTCCAGTAAGGCCTGCAGAAAGCCCCAGAGCTAGAAGCATGCCCTCCATCAGGACTGTATGGAGCAGAAGGCATGTTGTTCCCATGTCTAATCTGTCTCTGCCTTGTCCCATGCAGGAAGGACTGGCAGAGCTCAACAGCACAGCTGTCAAGCCACAGGTGCAGCCTTGGATCAACACCTTTCTGTCTGTCTCCCACAACATTGAGGAGGTCAGCCTGGCCACAGGCAGCCATCAAGCCCTGATCAGCCCTTGCCCTCACCTCAGAGGCTAGCTGCCCATTCAGGGGCTCAGAACCCACATCTCAAGGGACTTTGCCTTGGCCTGACTCATTCCTTGTTACTGGGGCTCTTCGTGTCCTACCTGTTCTAGATTTAGGAATTACCCCCTCTTCCCCCCACCCCCCCAGTAATTCTCTACTGTAGAATTTGAAATTTAAAGGGTGAATAAAGCACCAGGAGCCCTAGTGTACTGTGGGGGTCACTGTTGCAGTCCGAGGGTATTTGCTGGTTATAGGCATGATGCAGCAGCAGTTTCTGTTAGCCTGGGTGTCAAAATTGGTTTTTTGGTTGTTGATTTTTCTGATTTATTATTTGAAGGTAGAATGACAGGAGGGGGTAGAGGAAAGTATCTTCCATCCTCTGGTTCTTTCCCCAGATTACCTGCAACAGGCCAAATTCAGGAGCCACAGAGTCACCTTGGTGTCACCATGGCAGGAACCCAGCTAGATGAGCCATCACCACAGTGTCCCAGAGAGTGGGTGATAGTCAAGAGGCAGAGGCAGGTATGGCATTTGGCTTCTTAACCACCAGGCCACATGCCCACCCACAGGTTAATTGAATGCGTCTTACCATAGATTTCCTAAAGGTCCAGGGGTTGGCAGGGTAAATGGTGCTTAGAAAGAAGCCTATGGTAACCCATTTTGCTTCCTGACATTAGGAAGAGTTCAATGACTACGAAGCCAATGACCCTTGGGTACAACAGTTCATCCTTAACCTGGAACAGCAAATGGCAGAGTTCAAGGTGAGCAGATTCATGGGGTCAGAATTAACTCACCCATTTTCAAACCAGCAACCTATGTAGTTTTTCAGTATGCCCATGCTAGAGACCCTGAAAGCCCTTCCAGGCCATGGCCATCACAAACACTGATCTGTGGCCTCATGGAATTATCCCCACCATGTAAAGACTCCAATGCAGAGATAGGGGCTAGACGTGACTCCTGCTGATGACAAGTTTTTGTGTGCAGGCCAGCCTCTCCCCAGTCATCTATGACAGTCTGACTGGCCTCATGACTAGCCTTGTTGCTGTTGAGTTGGAGAAAGTGGTGCTGAAATCTACCTTCAACCGGGTAAGGTCAAGGGTACAAGGGTCCACAGCTCTTGTCATATCTCCTGAGAAGAAGACAAGTCATGCCCTTATACCCCAAAATTTGCATCCCCTCTCTGCACTGGGCCCTTAGTCCTAGTCCTCTCCCTATGTCCCTATGTTATTACTCCTATTCCTGCCCCTGCATCTGAGACCCTAAAACAAGACACCACCCCAAGATCTAGCTGCCTTTCCCACTCAGCTCTGTAGGAAATTGGAGACCAGTTCTGCTGGGCGAGAGAGCCTGGTCTTCAGCAATGACTGGGCTGTGTGTTCTGCAGCTGGGAGGTCTACAGTTTGACAAGGAGCTGAGGTCACTCATCGCCTACCTTACCACAGTGACCACCTGGACCATCCGAGACAAGTTTGCCCGGCTCTCCCAGATGGCCACAGTCCTCAACCTGGAGCGAGTATGTGGGGCCCTCTCAGCCAAACTAGAGAAGGGTGACTGGAAAGAGGCCCCCCAAGTTGTCTTTCCCTTCCTTGGTGCACCTACTCTGCCCTTCAGAGTCCAGGGTTTCCTCAGGATAGCTGTGCCTTGCTGACTAGTTTCTGTATTCTTCCCTACAGGTGACAGAGATCCTAGACTACTGGGGTGCCAACTCTGGCCCGCTGACTTGGCGCCTCACCCCTGCTGAAGTGCGCCAGGTGCTGGCTCTGCGCATAGACTTCCGCAGTGAGGACATCAAGAGGCTGCGCCTATAGCTGCAGGGTGGGCCTACACAGCCCATCACACTGCAGGGCCTCTTCCCCAAGTAGCCGCTGTGGTCAGGCAGCTGGGCATGACTGTTTGGGTTCGGGGATCTCTAGCCACAGGGAAATAAGGCCTGGATTCTGGCCACACACTGCCATCAGATGTGGCTGGGCAGTGTTCTGGGGGAAGCATGGGCCATCTCTGAGTGGCCACTCTCTCACCCCAAAAACATTTTCCTGTCAGCCTTAGAGGGGGACCTGGAATTAGGTTGGACTTCAACAAGAGGCTATGTTTACAAACCCTGAATAAAGACACTCCTAAAGAGATGCTAGTATGCTGCTTCCAGAGAAGGCTGACTGCTCTAGGGCAGGACATGCCCACCATTTGCACTGAAATGTGACAGCAAAATCCCAGGGCCTCAGCCACTCCCACACTCACAGCTATGAACAGCTGACTCTATAGCCCACAGGACAACAGGACCCTTTATCTAGTCCTGAAGCCTCAACCCCCACCAGATTGTCCCCTGGCAATTTCCCACAGTGCCACAGAAAGTGGAAATTGTTCAAGGTGGAAACAAAAAGCTTTCTGAGGACAACTTTGAAGGACCTAGTAGAATTTATTCCAAGAATGCGAGTCCTGAAAACCCACTACCCACAGGCACTGGGTCACTTGGCAGTCTGTGGCATTGCTGGTTAAGGATTGGGTGGACAGAGACTTAGTGCAGCACCACAATGACTGGCTGCCACAGACTTGGACTGGATTCCACTCCCCCACAAGCAATGAGGAGTAAAGGCTGAGGCATGAGGTCTCCTAAGTTTAAGGAAGGCCACTGAGGAGCTCTCTGGGTCCCTTACCAAGGAACCTAGCCTTCTGCCAAGGCTTCTTCCAGAATGAAAAGGCTGGGGCCCACACTGGGCCATGGGATTTGTAAGGCCTCTTGAGACACAGCACTTGGAGATATCCTTGGTCCAGATGCAGCAGAGGCCAAGCTTTGGCCACTGTGAGCCAGGAGGTACAATCCTGTTCCCAAGCACTGCTTCAGCTTGCCCTCGTCTTGCTCAAGTCTACGTTCTCTAGGAGCAGATGGGCAGAGGTGGGTGTGTAGGAGGAAGCTGACAGTTCTTTGGAGGAAGGAAAGGAAGGTCCACTGTACTTGAGGTGTTTGTTTCCTGCAGAGTTCAGCCTGATGGGAGGCGTCAGAGGGAGGCCTCACTCCTTGGCAGCGTCAGTCTCAGGCCTTGACTATCCACTTCCACCAGGTGGACACTGAAGTTCCCGAGGCCCTGAACAGGACAGACATTGCTTAGGGAGCTCTTAGCAGATCTCCTGCCTCCTGAAAATCAGACAGAGACTGCATGGCCAGGGAGACTTGGAGGGTACGCCCTGGTTAGACATACAGGTCTCTTGCCCCCGCCAGCTGCAAATCCAACACCATCTGTTACCTCAGTCTTGGCCAGCACAGCCTCCACAACCTCCTTTTGCTGGGGCTCCTTGGTCAGTAGATAAAGAAAGCCTCCACCACCTGCTCCTGCCAGACTCTGGCCGTGAACATAGGGAGCCAGCACATCCATCATCCGCCGCACAGCCAGAGGCTCACAACCTGGAGCCATACGCTTCTTCTGTTCCCAGTACGAGGTCAGGTACTGGCCCAGCAAAGGAAGCATTCCTAGAGTGGAGACAGGGCAGTGGCAACACACCCCACAAGCATGTAAAGACCTGGCATTGGACCTACAACCAGCATTGCCCTTGCATGCTCCCGATGCCTGCACCTCCTCTGGAAGAGGCACCTCACCTTGGCGGAAGGCTTCAGCACACTCTTCAGTTTGCCGCACCAAACTGTGGGCATTCTGCACCACGGCAGGCAGCCGGGCATACCAGCTCCTCAGCACGTCCTACAGACAGGGCCGGAGAGGGGTCAAGAGCCAGGCCCAGCAACATCTGCCTTCCTCCCTCATTCTAGGGACTCACCTGCAGCAGATTGCGAGCCAGGCGGGTCTTGCCAGTGTACACCAGGAGCAAGTGGTCATTGAGCTTCTGGATAAAACCCTTGGGCACGGCGATCTCTTCCACTTCCACTTTAAGGGGTAGCTGGGCCTTGGAGCGCCCCACCTTGATGCCAGGCATCAGGCCACCCACCTGGTCCTGCCAGCCACCTCCTGCAAGCCCAGGGCCCCATCACTGTTAGAATGTATCTGGCCCAACTTCACTCTACCAACCACAAGCTCCTGGCCCCGCAGCCCTGGCTGACTGACATCAACACAAGAAGATAGCTTCCTTAACTCCGCCAGGTGAGCTATGTGGCTTGTGCCCAGACCTGGAAGCAGGCCGTTCCCACCAAGGGGAAGAGCTGTTCTGCAGAGCCCACTTGCCATTCCTAGGCTCTGAGTTTTGTTGCAGAGCTGATCTGTAACTGGAATGTGAAGAAGAAAAGATTTTACTCCTCTGGGAGTCAACTCTAGGAGCTGTAGCCAGAGGAGAGGTGGCAGAGCACATTCCAAGTAGCCTAAGCCTCCCCCAGCCCCACATGCCCACTTTTCCTTTTGGTGAAGATGAGCTTTTCAGTACCTCCATCAAACCTGAAAGAGCCATGCAAATACCTGTAGTTGGGAACAGTATGGCTCTTTTTTTACCCCCTTGCAGCTTAAATGAACAAGACAAAAGTTGAACTACCTCTGGGACAGGCGACTGACATTTGGGAAAGGGCCTGCGAGGATTTCAAATGTAGAACGCCCGTAGCTGAAAGCATTTGGAATCTTGCAGCCAAAACATGGTGGCAGTGAAGGGCTCAAAAGATCAAGAGCTCCTAACTGTGACCCTCTCTCAGTGTGCCTAACACCGTTTGTCATAACTTACTCGCTTGCTTGGTTCCTGATGAATGTCTGCCCCAGCAAATCATACAAGAAGACTTCAAAAAGATTAAGTCAAATGTGCTTGTCCTCTACTTTTATTCTTCCATAATATTCTGAAATTCACTTCTCTGATTTTGGAGTGCAAGGGCCCTGTTTTTGCTCACTTAGCTCCAGGGCCCTACAGAGTGGATTCTGAACAGTTACCTGACCAAATGAAGAACTCAAAGGGGGATACCTCAGAATTGCAGCCATCTCCCCATGTGCCGCTTTTGCTAGTGACTGCCTCTCACAGGTCACTGTAGTGATAGCACGGGGCTGGGCCACCAAGTCACGGAAGCAGCCTAAGCCTCCATCTGCACGTCATGTGGCAGCTTTCTCCCAGACGGTGTCGGAGACAAGGCCTGGGTGTACAGAACACCTTAGGATCTGGAACCAAACCACTGGCTGCCCTACACTGGGCCTGGATTCCAGCTGACAGGAAAGAAGGGCAGCCTGATGCTAATAACATTGCCTCTAGAACATGGCCTCTGCTGGGCCCTTGGTTCCTACTCCTGTCAAGTCAAAGCCCAAGGGCTGGATATTTTGCTGAAGGGCCATCCCTAATGCCAGGCCCTGCTCTGCCCTGCAGGCCCTAAAGGACAGACAGCCTGGGTTGTGGCAAAGTCATGAGCAACCACAGCTGGTCCACGGTACTACCACATAGGCACGGAATCTGGCACTAAGTAGGTGCTCACAAAACATCAACCCCTCTGAAGTAGAACACTGCAAACCTCCAGAGGTCAGAGTGTTAAGAAGGAAATGACATCCATTTTAAGGAGCAGCACAGTTCTATGTTGTTGGCACATGGCATGCAAATCCAGGGAAGTCCTGAGAGGTCCCAGGTAGTGACCTGGGGCAGGCTCCTACCTGTCGTGAGCACCTGCTCCAGATGCAGTACTGCGTGGATCAAAGCCTCTGTGCCCACTGCTTGGCCGGCAGCCCGCTGCAAGGCAGCCAGGGCAGCACCTGCCAGGATGCTGCTGGTACCTGCAGGACATAGAACAGGACAGTGTCATGAGCAGCCCCTGTCCAACGCAGTGCTGCCCCATCTCCCACTTCTAGACAGAGGCCAAGGAAGGGGGAGCACAGGCAAGGCTGGGATCTCCTGACACAGGGTAGGTAGGCAGCAGGAGGTTAGGGCTCACTCACCAAGACCGGAGCCGTGGGGCAGCTCAGACCAGGTGTGTAACTCAAAGCCACCCCCAAAGGTACGTAGCAGCTGCTCACTCAGCGAGAGCTTGGAGTGGACATCCACTATGCCAGCACAGATGAAGGCTGCCTTCAGCAGGGCCCCTGCAGAGGGACAGGCACCATTCAAGGAACTTTGGCTCCTTGAATAGTCCACCCCTTTCTGCTGCTTCCCACCAGCTGGGACAAAATCCCCCACAACAGGGCAGGCCCCACTCCCACATCTCTGGCCTCCTGAACCAGGTAGAGGTGTCAGCTCGACTGACTGGCCTTATCCTTTCCTTCGGGGCTCCTCAACCACACAGGCAACTCCTCAGGCCAGGCCCCAGGGGCCTCCTGTCTCTGCAGGGTATCTCCCAGTACTTTCCCATCATCCAGCTAGCTGTATGTGCTGTCCCCACCTACAAATGTACCATGGTGTCCTGACCTGGGGCATGGGGCTGGCAATAGTCCTGCAGGTCGTCCAGGCTCCGGCATACAATTTTCATGGCCATCTCGTCCTGCTGAGGCCCCACTGCCAAACACAGCTCGGGCTCCAGGATGCGGCGTGCCCTGGCCCCGATGGGCCGGCGGCCATCCACTCGCACAGCCAAGCCCAGCACTGCCCCACCAAGCTCATAGGCAAGCGGTGGCGTGTCACTCCAGCCCCCTGTGGCAGTTTGTCAAAGCCAAGCTGTCACAAGGACAGCCATCGCAGCTCAAGGACAGCCATCCTCCCCCCACCCCCACAAGGGGCTCACCAGAGAAATCCACCCGAGCTGGGCAGTCAGCCACCACCCACTGCCCAGGGGCTGGCAGCTCCACTGGCTCTTTGGAGACAAACTGCTGGGCTGTCAGCACAGCCTGGCGGATCAGGATCTGCCCAGCACCCTCATAGTGCCGGGCAGCTCTCACCAGCAAGGCTGGCCTGCCAAGAAGGAAGGAAAGAGGAGCTGCTGACTTGGAGCCCAGGCTGGGGGCAGACTGTGTGGTTTGGGGAGCCCGACTGCCCTGGGGGACCACCCTGTCTGGACTTCCACCATCAGAGCCCACTTCCCTGGATAATAGGACCTCCTCAGAAGGTCTGTCTTTATTCAGTACCTGCTCAGCCACTTGTCCCTCTCCTGAGCAAGTGCCTCCACGCCCTTCGCCAGGTCTCTGCTCTCCAGGTATAAGAAGGACTGTGTCCATTCAGGGTTGGCCGCCGGCCCACTCCGCAGGCCTCCCTGGCCCTCTGCCATACAGCCCAGAACATCTGCCACACAGGCCAGTGCTCGTGCTGCCACTCCAGGGTCTCTCGCTCCAGCTGCAACTGAGAGACCAAGAATTAGGGTCAGCAGCACAGGGGATCTGTCCCCAGGCTGCCTGTTCCTAGAGACTGCCCAACATTCCCCAAACAAACTCCAGACCCCTCATAGCTCCTGGTTGCCGCCCCAAATGCATCCCTGCCTGAACGTGCACCCCTACTCTCTACCTGAAAGAGTTATCCTGCCACCTCTGCCCAGATGGCCACCTGTGTCCCCAGTAAGGACACCCATAGCTCAGGCTCTTGAACCACCAGGGCTCAAGTCTTAGCATCCACCACAGCCAAGAGGCTGAGGATGAGTGACTTAAATGAGGGTCGTGTTCCTCAGCCCACGGTGATGAAGTGCCACTTGGGAGGCCGAGGCTCTGAGCTTCACCTGGTATGCCTGCTCCCATGCTGAAATGTTGGAGTTCAAGTCCCAGCTCTACTTCGATTTCAGCTGGGAGGCAGCAAAGTGGGAACTCAGGTACTCAGGTCCCTGCCTCCCACAGGGGACACCTTGATTGAGTTCCAGGCTCCTGACTTTAGCCTGGCCTCACCCTGGCTATTATCTGTATTTGGCAAATGAAATATGGGTAGAAGATTTCTCTCTGTCTCTCTACCTTTCAAATAAAAATAAAATTTAAAGTGGATATGCTGGTGTTTGCAGGACAAGAGGCTCAACCCCTGACCATCTGGAAAAATGCCAGTGTTAACTTTTCACTGGTAGGGAGACACATGGCTCCCTGGTCACCTTATGCTGATGATTCAAAAGGCAGGTGGCCCTGGTCTGCATCCCCAGTCCTAAAGCCCAGCATGCTTACCCTGGTCCAGCTTAGCCAGCAGGGGCCCAGGGCAGCCCTCACGAACAGCAGCCCGGATCAGCGGGCGCAGGCTGAGGTCCTGACGGGCCTCCAGCACGCGCTGTGCCTTGCTCAAGGACTGGCGGAAGAACAGGTCCCGACGGGACGCCAGTGTGGCCGCGCGGTCCAAGCACGGCTGTAGCTGCTCCCAGGACAAGCGCCAGGAGGCTCGCCAGGTCCTCAGGGCCTCCCCACCATGCTCCTTAGGGTCCAGCATCCACAGCATGTCCTGGGGACCCAGGGTCCTCGAAGGGTGGAGCACAGGAAAGAGGCGAGCACTGGGCAGGCCACGCTGTGCAGGAGGTGTGTCTGGGTCCCACAGATCCCATTCTCTGATGTGGGGAGAGAGCATGTGAGGAGGAGAAAGGCCCAGGATCCCTCCCCTTCCCAAGCCCCAGGCACAGGACAGGTGTAGCATAAGTGGACCATCTCTTGCTGCTCTATTCCCCATCCCAGCCCCAGGGAATCCCTAAGTCTGAACACAATCAGGAATTTGGAGTTGTCTGAAGAAAAAGGGATATCCCAGGCCCAAGAGCATGATTGGGGTGTGAGAGGGGGTGCTAGAACTGCCACCAGAGCAACCAAAGTCTACAGAGGTCAGTAGTGGCTTCCCACTGTACCGTATGCCTGTCTTCTGGAAGAAGTCACTCCAGGACATGTTGAGATATGTGCCTGGGCCCTGTCTCTGGGAGAAGAGGAGGAAGCAATTAGCACTGCTAGGCCCACAGGAAGGGGCTGAGGACACCAGGCCATAGGCCCAGGAACTGCCTGGGTGGGAACAGGGAGAGAGACATGAGCATAAAGGGAAACAGTTTCCACCATGAAGGCCTGACCCCATGAAGGCACCTGGCATCTGGAGCAGAGACCTGGTCCATCACAATAGGCTCTGCAGCCCAGGTTGGATCACCTGCCTCTTTGAAGTTTATCTCCAACCCCACCCTGCTAACCTCCCTGGGCAGGAAAAAGAGCAGCTGCTGAGACTCTCCTAGTCCCCTGGTCCTCCCAGCCTCTCCTTCAGGCCAGGATTCAGAGAGCCTGTCCGGTGGTGATAGGGCCCGGGTTCCTCAAAATCTTTAGATTTTGCTGCAGGGCAGTGAGGGGATGGAAAGCAGTATCTACCTCCCAACTGTCCAGACGGCCAACGAGCGTGAAGGTTTGGCTTGGGCAGCCGTGCAACCGAGTGTGGTGTCCCTGCAGAATGAGGTCCTGCAGCTCCAGGCCACGCAGGGCCTCAGACTGAGCTACATCCAGCCCACTCACAAGGCAGCCAGAACCGATGTGCATGGGGCCCTAGCAGAGAAAGAGCGCAGAGAGCCTGGATGGGCAGCAACCCCATGTGTCCACTGAACATGCTGGCCAAGGGCCCCCTCTCCCCTTGCCCTCCCTTCCACTCTCCTCAGCCTCACCTGAAGATGACAGTGCTGCAGGACGCTCCCAGACCCCAAGTGGATGGGCCCCTCCAGCAGGCAACTGACCACACAACTCCCCGGCTCTAGGAGCTCTGGCTCCTGTGAAGCCAGGAAGGAGGAAGATGATGAGAGTGAGGGACAAGGGCCACGGCCACCCCACTACTCCTCTGCAGCCCATCATCTTGGTTTAGAACCTCGAGGCTTCCCTGTTCTCCCAGCCCCATCCCTCTGAGGACCTGCCCTGGCCACAGCCTGAGCCCTTTCCTATCCCACCTATGTAGTCACTTCCAACCCCACTGCCCTTAGAGTTACCTCTTAACTCTGTGTGCCCCAACCGAACCCCACAGCAGTGGTGCAGGCCATCACTTCAGACAGGCCTGTATCCCCAAGCAAACCCCACAGCTTCCCATCCAGGCTACTTACTAAGCCTTCTCCACGGCCCACAGCCCATCTGAAACCCAAACACCCAGCAGGCACCCAGGAGGGGTGGAGGGCTCACCTCCACCTGGGAGTGGACAATCTTGGCCCCAGGGCCCCTGGGCAGTGTAAAGTTCAGCAGGAAGTCACTGTTTGAGGTCATGTAGCTGTAGCTGCCTTCAGGGATGTAGGCTGCAAGGACACCAGCCCTGATGCCAGCACTGTGCCTACTATGGCTCTGGAAGTGGACTCTGGGAATGGGAGTGGGGAGCCACGCTGGCCCCTGCCAAGAGCCACACCCTTGTCACACAACAACAGGGCAGGATGGCAATGGGCACTTAGAGTTGATGGGAAAACTGAGGCTCTGGGGTTCAGTGACCTGCCCTAATCCCCACAATAGGAAGCAGGCACAGTAGGAAAGAGGTGAAAGGAAGATGCAAAGAGCTCTCTCCACAGGGTGCTCTGGCGGGGGGGGGGGGGGGGGCGGGAGAGGGGAAGGGGGGGGGAGGGACACTGTGCAGTCCACAGCTGGGTAGCCTGGTCCAGAATGCAAGCAGGAGGCTTCACTTTAGGGGGTCGTCAAAACATACCCATGGTGAGGGGCTGATCTCGAAGCTCCCGCCACAACTGGGCCCTGGCACTTTGTAGGTAATCTGCCACAGCTGTGTCACCGTGCCCCATCTCCGGGGGCCGTCCCACCAGGAAGTCCTCCCTGCTCACATTTCGAGCCATGCAGAGCAAGATGTCAAAAAACAGAGACAGCTGGGGCGAGAACAGGAAATACAGCTATTGGCAGGTCACAGCGGTGGCCCAATGTTCCCAAGGCTGAGCTGCCGGTCAGTGCCATCTGCACAGATGTTAACCCCCATGGTCTGCCTCCCCAGTGCACCTGGACAGGCCGAGCTCCGGAGTCCAGACCCATGTAGGTGCAGGCATCCAGAGGCGGGCTCACATGAGTGGCCAGGAGGTGCTCCGCAGTCTCCACAGAGAAGAAGACAATGCCAGAAACCTGGAGAGGCCCCCACAAGAGTCAGGTGCGAGGACAGCCTGGGCTGGCCCTGTGCACAAGCTAGGGAAGATGCGGACACCAGGTAAGGCTGTGTACCCCGCCATACAGGGGCTCCTATTGTCTAAGTCGCCCCAGCACCCAGACTCCAGGCTAACTGGGAATAGATTTGACTCAGAATTCCTGAGACCCTACTCTCACTTTTGGGCCTCCTCCTGTACCAACTTCACCTCCCCAGGGTCCAGTCCCAAATCCTTCCATTTCCACCCTTGGCCCTCATTCTGGAAGCACCCCAAAAGGCTGGTTCTAGAGCCCCTCCCAGCCACAGTCACACTCACTCCCCTTCTGGTTTGGGGCAAGATCCTGAATCCCAAGCCCCCTGCTCTCCACCCCCTGCTTTTCCTCAAACTCTGGGTGCCCCTGCTCATCTGAGAGCCAGTTCCAAGGCTCGCTCCCATTCCAGCTCTAGCCTGCCCTAGCAGTTTCTGGAAGCAATGGGCCTCTGCCCCAGGAAGGCAGGCAAACCCCCCTCCCTGGTCTGTAAGGTACCCCAAAGACCTCAACCCAGTCTCAGCAGCCATACCAGGGGCACATGCCCACCAGGCTTGACACACCGCTGTATCTCTGCCTCAGTGCCCTGGTAGTAAATGTCCAGCACAAAGCCCTGTATGGGGACAGAATTGGAGAAGAGTATGGGAGTAGACTGGGCAGGAAGGTACAAGCAGAGGCATCAGGAAGCATGCCCTCCACACAGGCCTGACAGGTACCAGCACACACACAGGCACACAAGCGAGCGACAAGTCTACCCCAGCAGCACAGTAGGCTTTGAACATCCCCACAGCCTTGCAGCGGAGGACAGAGCCCGGTCTCTGGCACCGCCAAGGGCAGTTCTTGCAAAATGAGCACCAGAGCTGTTCCCTGAAAGAGGTTCAAGGTCACACCACACAGTTCAGAGCAAGCATTCACTGGGACACACATGGAACCGTGTTACAGGCCAGCTCACCACCCCCATGGCTGCTCCAACGGCCCTACCTGGGAGTCGGTGAGGTACACACCATGATCCATGGCGTAGGTCGGGCTCCCTGGAAAGGCAATCACTCTGGCTCCCCGGAAGCCATCCCAGCTGATTTCTGTGGGGTGAGGGCAGTCAGGAGGTTCTCAGAGGGCACAACCCAAGGCAGGGAGTTCCCAGCCAAAAGAGGCAAGAGCTCAGGGTGATGTGCCCCACATCTCTAAAAAGGAAGAACGATTTCCAAAGCCCAACGACAGTCTCCTGGGAGAACGACAAACTCCTCCTCACCCGAACATCCTCCCCGAAGCCCGGTGAAGTGGAAAGGACAGGGCTGAGTATGTCCATTCTACAGACAAGCAGACCAAGGCTCAGAAGGGGAAACCCTGCCTCTGGATCTGGGCTTCATTCTCAAGAGCCTGTGGCCTCCCTTTCCAATAGGCAGAGGGGCAGGGCCCCAAGACAGGTGGAACCCGCCCCTGCTATGACCAGGGAAGGCAGCCCCAGGCTGTGGAAGGCTTACCAGGGTTTACGGGAATGGACAGCAGCATGTCGGTGCTGCAGACCCAGACACCTGGTGGGCAGCCTGGGCCCAGCTGCAGGGAGAGAGAGAAAATGTTCACCACAGCCTGGGGCAGCCATGGCTCTGCTCGCCACAACCCAGCCTGTTGCTGAAGGATTGGGGGCCTCCTGAACCCCAGGGAGGGCCATGCCACCCCTCCCCAGCTCCCAGCCACCCTCCTCCAAGATGACCAAGTTCCAGAAGCCCTGACTTGCTCTAGGAGTCCCCACAACTACTCTTGCTGGGATTGCCCACTTGAACCAACAAAGCGTGTAGCCAGCAGTGAGTGTGGGAGGAGTGGTGAGGGCCCAGCCTCACCCGGTGGGTCATGATGTCCAGCAGGCAGTCCAGGTTGCACACCAAGGCCTCCTCAGGGGCCTGGGGGCTTTCCAGAGGGAGGCAGGTGAAAGCCCGGCCACAGTCATCGAAGGGAAAGTCTCGGCCCTGAGCGGAAGCAGGCACTGCTGAGGGGGCGCTCGGGGCAGTCAGACCAGGACAGCTTATTAAGAAGGCAATCCTGGCGTTTTCTCTTACATTATTTTTAATGTATTTCTTTTTATTTTTTAAAGTTTTTTCTTTTTTTAATTGGAAAGGCAGATCTACAGAGAGAAGGAAATACAAAAAGATCTTCTATTTGCTTATTCACTCCCCAAGTGGCCGCAATGGCTGGAGCTAAGCCAATCCAAATTCAGAAGCCAGAAGCAAGGAGCTTCTTCCAAGTCTCCCACGCAGGTGCAGGATCCCAAGGCTTTGGGCCATCCGTTACTGCTTTCCCAAGTCACAAGTAGGGAGTTGGATGGGAAGTGGAGCATCTAGGACATGAACTAATGTCTATATGGAATACCGGCATGATGCAAAGCAATATTTAACCAGTAGGCTACCGTGCCAGGCTTTTTTCTTATCTTTTAAAACAGTTATTTATTTACTTATGAGACAGATTATATATATTATCTAATGTGTATAGAGAGAGAGCATTCCTACAGTTGGTTCACTCCTCAAATGCCCACAATGGACACAGGCTAACAGACAAAACTGGGAGCTAGACCCTTACTCCAGGCCTCCCACACCACCTAGTTGGCAGGAACCCAGTTCTCTGAGTCCTCACTGTTGCCTCTCAGGGTCTTGCATGAGCAGCACGCTGGGGTCAGGAGCAGAGTTGAGTTGTAAAACCAAACACTCACAAATGGGACAATTTTTTTCAAGGTAGATTGATACATGGGTAGATCCACAGACGCACAGTTTGAAAAGTAGAGTAACGGAAAGACAAAGGCATAGTGATCTTCCATCTGCTAATTCACTCCCGAAATGCCTACAATAGCCAGGACTCAGCCAGGCCAAATCCAGGAGTCAGAACTCAACCTCTACGTCTCACCTGAGTAGCAGCAGCCCAAGTGTCTGCACCATCATCTGCGGCCTCCTAGGTGTATTAGCAGGAAGCTGGATCTGGGAGTGGGGTGGGACACTATCCCAGGAACTCTTATATGGGATGTGGGAATTCCATGCAGCAATTCAAGCCACGGTGCTTACCCAGAACCCAAGCATTTATTAGCATCATAATCACTGGCAGAAATACTTACACCTCCCTCATAATTGTTTAAATAAATATGAATATTATAAAAACATATATATAGAAAACACAAATATGCAAAAACAATATCTCCCTTTGAGGTATATTCTATCAGAAGCAAATGGTCAGGGTTTAGCACAGTAGCTTAGTAGCTGAAGTCCTTGCCTTGCATGTGCTGGGATCCCATATGGATGTCAGTTCATATCCTGGTGGCCCTGCTTCCCGTCAAGCTCCCTGCTTGTGGGATCCAGGCTCCTGGCTTTGGATCGACTCAGCTCTGGCCATTGCAACTCCTTGGAGAATGAATCAGCAGATGGAAGTTCTTCTTCTCTGTCTCTCTTCCTCTCTGTATATCTGACTTTCCAATAAAAATAAATAAATAAATCTTTTTTTAAAAAAAGAAAGAAGTAGCAAATAGTCAGAGCTAGGCTGAAGCCAGGAACCACAGGCTTCTTCTGGGTCTCCCACTGGGTGCAGGGGTCCCAAGGATCTGGGCCTTCCTCTTCTGCTTTTCTGAGCACATTAGTAGAAAGCTGGATCAGGAGTGGATCAGCTAGGACTTGAACCAGGGTCCATATGGGAAGCTGGAAGTTTTACTTGCTACACCACAGCACCAGTCCCTGTTACACTACATATTATCAATTTTTTTCACTGGAGACATCTAGACAAAATCTGCAAAGACTCCTCTCCTTACTATTACTACTTTTTTTTTCTTTTTAATGTTTTTCAAAAGATTTATTTATTTGATAGGTAGATTGACAGAGAGGGAGAGAGACAGAATGAAAAACCATCCATCTCCTGGTTAACTCTCCAAGTGGCTACAATAGATGGAGCTGGTCCAGGCCAAAGTTGGGAGTCAGGAACTTCATCCAGGTCTCCCATGTGGATGGCAGAGGTCCAAGTGCTTGGGCCACCTTCCACTGCTTTCACAGGTGCATTATCGGGGACCTGGGTCAGAAACAGAATAGCCAGGACTTGAACTGGCACTCTGATATGAAATGTTGGCATTGTAAGCAGCAGCTTATCTGCTACACACAGCCCCTTCTTTTTCTTCTTGTTCATGTTTAATGAAGCCAAAAGCAACAGAGAGAGACACAGGTCTTTCACTCACTGATTTATTCTCCAAACACCTAGAAAAGCCACGATGGGCCAGGTTGAAGACAGAACCCCAGAACCCCATCCAGGTTTCCCACATGAGTAGGAGGGACCTGTATACTTGAGCTGTCTTCTGTTGCCTCTAGGCTATATGGGAAGCAGAGTAGCCAGAACTTGAATTGGCACTGCAACATGGGATGTAGGCATCCAAAGCCACGATTAACTCACTATGCCATAAGGCCCACTCCTCTCTCCTTATTTCTTACATGTTGATTTTAAATCATCCCAACCAAAACCCCAGTTAAGAAAAAAAAAAAAAAACTAAGACTGAGAAAGAAAACACAAAAACTAGTTAAAATAAAAGTTTCCAGGGCCAGCACTGTAGCATGGATTCAGTTCCAGCTGTAGCTCCTGACTCCAGGTTCCTGCCAAAGCAGCTGCTGCAAGGCAGCAGGTATAATCCATGTAATTGTGTTTCTGTCGCTCCCATAAATGACCCACACTATATTCCCATCTCCCAGCTTTGGGTTCAGCCCAGCCTCAGCCACTGCAGCCATCTGTGGAATGAATTAGCTGAGTGGAACTCTCTTTCTGGGTCCCCCTACCCTTCAAAGGAATGAACCTGAAGAAGCTGAGATCAAAGTCAAAGCTGTGGTATAGCACATTAAGCCTTCACCTAAAGTGCTGGCATCCCATAAGGGTACCAGCTCAAGTCCTGGCTGCTTCACTTCCAATCCAGGTCCCTGCTAATGCGCCTGGGAAAGTAGGGGAATATGGTTCAAGTCCTTGGGCCCATGCACCCATATGGGACACCCAGCAATAGCTCCAGGCTCCTGGCTTCAGACCAGCCCAGCTCTGGTCATTGTGGCCATTTAAGGAATGAGACAGCAGATAGAAAATTTCTTTTTGTGTCTCTCTTTCTCTCTGTAACTCTGCCTTCCAAATAAATAAAATAAATATTTAGAAGAAGAGAAACAAACCAAGATCATGCTATACAAACTTTTGTCACTGTCCCAACATGTCTAACTATGAAAACTCATTCACTGAGCACTCAGTGAGTAAGTCAGGCCTGACTGTTAACTGTTTACACCTTACACCACTTACCTTCTCAGCACACCCACCGGCAGCAGAAACTGCGGTCATTCTCGTTTCACAGATGAGCTGACTGAAGCCTAGAAAGGGTCGAGTACTTTGCCCAAGATCCTGGAGCTGGTAAGTCTCACTCCAAGCAAGTGCATGGAGCTCAATGGGATTCTGAATCACTGTCTGACACTGCGCCAGAAGCTCATGTTACTATGTCTATTTAATCAGCTCCCAAGCTGATTAAATTGGAGATGGATTCTAACTCCATGTGGTCTGGATTTTCACAGTGAACATTTGGCGCATATACACACTCACACAACCCAAGGCAGAACACCCCTGGTGTCCCAGCCAGTGGTAAGAAGCAGGCGTCATGTCTTCTGCCTGGCCCATGCCCCAAATTCCACTTACCAAATGCAGGATGAGGATCCAGGCCAAGTGCAGGACATCAGCCGTGACCACCTGTCAGGAGCAGGGGAACACTGATGAGTGGGGCCCACGCAGCCCCCAAGGCCCTTCACCTTTCTGTTCCCTATTTTGGCATTTTTAAACTTGTTTGTATTTATTTGAGAGTCAGATATGGACAGAGAGAGAAAGGGAGAGCGCGCTCCTATCTGCTAGTTTATTCCCCAAATGCCCACAACAGCCAGGGCTGGATGAGGCGGGACTCAGGAGTCAGGAACTCCATCAGCCTTCCCTCTTAGGTGGCAAGAACCCACGTACTGGAGCTATCACTTGCTGCCTCCCTGGGCACGGTGCCCAGTAGCAGGAAGCAGAGCCCAAACCTGAAACCAGGCACTCTGGTGGGATGCAGTTGTCTCAGTCAGGGTGGCCACCACCATGCCACGCATCTGCCTCCCTGCTTTGGGCAGGGGTTGCAGGCAACAACTCAGGGCTAACCAGTGACTCAGGGGAAGTCAGCTCCATGACTATCACAGAGAGAGTGGTTCCCTCCCCTGCCACCTCCTTCAGCATAGTGTGCCCCTGCCTGTGACCAGCTCACTCTGTATGCCAGGGGGCTATGCAGACAAGGTAACTGAACAGGATGGCTGGTGGGGGAGCGGCGAAACGGACCGCCTCAAGGGAATCACTTTGAGACACTAGCTCTGATCTTGGGGCCAGTGCTGTGGCATGGAGGATGTAGCCACTGCATGTTATGCCACTGCCTATATGGGAGTGTAGGGGTGAAACCTGGCTGCTCCGTTTCTGATCCAACTTCTTGCTAATTCCATCTGGGCCGGCAGCAGATGGGTCAAGTGCCTGGGTCCCTGCCATACACATGCAAGATCAGGATGGAGTTCCTGGCCCCTTGGAGTTCCAGCCCTGGCTGTACTAGTCATTTCAGCAATCAACCAGCAGATGGAACATCTCTTCTTTCCTGTCATTCTGCCTTTCAAATTAAGGGAAAAAAAAAAAAAAAAACCACCCTGCCTCCTGCCCACACCTGGATCCAGAGTCACAGAGTCTTCCCAGATCACAGAAACAGAAGCCAGATGCCAAACTGGCCAAGATGATGGAGCCAGAAGAGTCAGGGATCCTGGTTTCAAAAGAGACCAGGGCCGCAGGGGTGGCAGGCAAGGGCACTCACCGTGAAGCCTGCCCGGGCGCTCAGGTGTTCAGCAGCCACCAGCAGGGCATTGAGTGTGGCTCCTCCACTGCCCACACGCGTCTCGGGGTCCTCCACAGCCAGTACCAGTGTCGCAGCGGGGATCTGCTGCCGCTTCTGCCGCACCTCCAGCTCTGTGGCCAGAACCTGTACTGGGATCTGCTCCATGGGATTCTCCTGCCCTGACCCCAAGCCCCCCTGGAGCAAACTGACCAAGAGACATGTGTTCATTTCTGTGACTTGGCAGTTTTCCTTAAGCAGCTTACTAGCTCACCACTGATACATCACAGAAGCACTACCACTCAGATTTTACAGATGAGAGCACTAACACCCAATGAACAGACACAGCATGCATCAGGCCACACAGCCCACAGCGGCCGCAGGGAGTGGGCATCACCTACCTTTCTGAAAGACCTGGACGCTGTCCTTGTATTGGCATGTCAGGACCAGGACTGTCCAATCAACTCCCTTAGGCTGTGCCATCCTGGCCATTACACAGAGGGGCTTCCTAAGGCGGAGGTATACGGAGAGTGAGAACACAACTTCTTCACTTGTTTTCGTTTTATCTGGACATAGAGAGACAGAGAGACATCTCCCATCTGCTGCTTCACTCCCTAAATGCCCGCAGCATCCAGAGTGGGGCGGCACTGAAACAAGGAGGAGCCTGGAATTCCATGGAGGAAAAGCTGGGATCAGAACTAGGCCCAGGACTTACCCCTAGGCTCTAGTGTGGTATGTCAATGTGCTAAGCAGCATCTTCACTGCTATGCAAAATACCCACTGCTGATTAACCTTTAACTCCATATATATCTATATGATCTATTTATTTAATGGAAAGTTAGATTTACAGAGAGAAAAAGACAGTGAGAAAGACCTTCCATCCACTGGTTCACGCCCTAAGAGGCCACAATGACTGGAGCTGAGCCCGATCTGAAGTCAGGAGCCAGGAGCCCCTTCTGGGTCTCCCATGCAGCTCCAGGGTTCCAAGGCTTTGTGCTGTCCTCTACTGCTTTCCTAGGTCACAAGCAGGGAGACCTGGAGGAAGCGTCTGGTTTCTGATTTTGGGCCAGCCCAGCTGTGGCCTTGTGGCCATTTTAGGGGAAAACCAGCAGATGCAAGACCTCTCTCTGTGTGTTTCGCCCTCTCTCTCTCTGTAACTCTTTCAAATAAGTAAATAAATATTAACACCCCGCCCCAAAAAAGAGTCATGCAAGGGCAGGCAATGTGGTATAGCACATTAAGCCTTAACCTGTGAGGCCACTATAGCATATAAGCACTAGTTCAAGTCCAGTCTACTTCGCTTCTAACCCTGTTTCTTGGTAATACCCCTGAAAAAGCAGTAGAAGATGGCCAAAGTGCTTGGGCTCTAAGTGGGAGACCCTGATGGAGTTCTAGGCTCCTGGCTTTGGCCTGACCCACCACAAGTTACTGAGATTACTTGGCAAAGTGAATCAGCAGATGGAAGAACTCTCTCCCTCTCTCTGAAACTACCTTATAAAATAAATTGATACATGTTTTCTAAAAGTCACATAATGGAAGGCAAGCATTTGAAATTAGCTTCTTTCAACCAACACAACACAGCTGAGATTCATCTGAATTGTCACTGATATCAATAGCATGATTCTTCTGTGCCAAACAGGACTGCCTGGCAGTCTGTCTCTCCATTTCCCATGGAATGAGATCTGACAGCCTCCATGTTTGGGCAGTCATGAAAACAGAGGTGAGAAACCTCTGGGGCCGGTATGTATGAAGACAGGAGACACAGGCCATGGTCTGCGGGGTCATAGGTCAGGTGCCAACTTGCAGGGTTCATGCCCCTCCCCAGGAGAGAACACCAGGACACAGGGAAGGAGGGGGAGTTCTACAGTTGATCCCACCATAACCAGCAGGCCTTCATTGTTCCATCACTGGCTGTGATTTGCAGGGAAGGCAAACACTTGTAACCCCTGACAGTGGTTCCCCGGAGAAGCAAACAGTGTGGGAAGCAGACACGCACACGTGGGCTGTGGGAGGGGCACACAAGCTTGCTCAGAGGGTTCTAGGCAGGGCGCCAACACACCCACGCGAGGACTTCCCCTTTCAGAACCGCCAAAGCAAAAGGGGCTGCTCCTCGCCTGTCAGCCATCTTTGGCCATGGAGCTCTGAGCAAGGGGGTGGGGAGCAGGGATGCCAGAGTGAGATCAAGCAACTTCAGTGCCACCCACATTCCTCTTATTTGGGAAACCTATCCAGCTCTGGAGCCCCTGGCCTTCCCCTGCACACACATCCCCACCACTTGGCAGCAGCCACACTCTCTGAGCACTGATCTCTGACAGAGTCCTGCTGCTACCCCATGAAGCAGTCCCCCCAACATCACCTCTCCATGCAGCCCCCAAAGCTCCGTCAGGGCAAGCTGTATGCCACCAACAGAGACAGGCCCTGAGCGTACGCTGCACTGCCAGCCCACACCCCCGCCAAAACCAACAGGAAAGCAGAACCTCAGCAGCAGAATCTTCTGATGCCGGACTCTGCTGTCACCAAGCCTGTACTTAAGGCCAGACTCTGCTGTCATTAAGCCTGTGGTTGAGGCTGACGCAACACCCACACTGCCTTGCACCTTTAGGAAAAGCCTCCATCAGTAAGAGAAATCGCTTTGTTCCGTACTGGGACCAGAAAAGTGCTCCAAGTCTCAGCCAGGCACTTGTAGGCAAAGGCTATGCCCAGGATGGTATCTGGTTTTTTGGAGCAAAGTGGTGGTGAGAGACTCAAGGCAACCATTATGAATCTAACACACCTCAGCAACTGCTCCTCCAAAGACCCAAAACATTCATGGGAAGTACAATATCACCCCCTCTCTTGGTTTTAAGGAAACATCAACATGAGAAGCTCTGAGACTCTTAATCAGCAAAGCTGAAAGTAAGGGGGCAGGCTTTTAGCCCATTAGCATACCCACATCCCAAGCCAGTCCCAGCTCTCCTTTCCATTGCAGAATCCAGCTGATGTGTGTCCCGGGAGGTGGTGGATGATAGCCCAGGTCCTTGGGGCCTGCCATCTCCCTTGGAAAGCTGAACTGAATTTCCAGCTTATGGCTGTAACCTGACCCAACCCACAAGGCACTGCAGGCACACAGGGAGTGTACCAGCAGATGGAGGAGCTCTTGCTCTGTTATTTTTTTTTAAAAGAGGTATTTATTTCTATTGGAAAGTCAGAGGAGGAGAGACAGAGAAAAAGATCTTCCATTTGTTGATTCACTCCCCAAGCAGACACAACTGCCAGAGCTGCACTGATCCAAAGCCAGGAGCCTGAAGCCTCTTCCATGTCTCCCATGTGGGAGCAGGGTCCCAAGGTTTTGGGCCATCCTCAACTGCAGTCCCAGACCACAAACAGGGAGCTAGATGGAAAGCAGGGCCACCGGGATACAAACAGGCACCCATCTGGGATCTCAGCGTATGCAAGGCGAGGACTTTATCCACTAAGCTACTGTGCCAGGCCCATCACTCTGCTGTACACATATATTTTAAGGTGTAAGGATGAGTATCTATTTAAAGATTTTGCTTATTTTTATTAGATTTATGGAGAGAAGGAGAGAGACAAAAAAAAAAAAAAGATCTTCCATCCACTGGTTCACCCTGTGAATGGCTACAACAGACAGAGCTGAGCCAATTTAAAACCAGGAGCCACATGGATTACACAGTGGCATCATTTTCCACCAAGATTCCCCAAGAGACTTTTGCGTTTCCTTTTGTCACCCACATGTTGGTTACTCGGTGGTGCATTTTTTTCATAGTGCTATAATTTGTTGTTATTGTTGTTGATATTGTTGTCCTTCAGGCTGTTGTTATAACTCAAAAAAAAAAAAAAAAAACAGGAGCTTTCTTTGGGTCTCCCACATGGTTGCAAGGTCACAAGGTTTTGGGCCATCCTTTCTACTGCTTTCCTGGGGCATAAACAGGGAGTTAAGTGGGAAGTGGAGCAGCTGGGACACAAACTGGCACCCATATGAAATCCTGGCACTTGTAAAGTAAGCATTTAGCCACTGAGTCATCACACCAAGCCCAAGCATTATGATTTTTGTCATCCGAGGCGGTGACTAGCACGGTTAGGCCACTAGGGTGCCTGGCTTCAAGTCCCAGCTCTCCTCCCCTCTCCACACCAGCCTCCTGATGGACTGTGCATTCTGGGAAGAAGTAGCGGATGGCTTGATTAACTGGGTCCCTGTCATTCACATGGGAAACTCATGCTGAGTCCTGGGCTCCTAGCTTTGGCTTCGCTCAGACCTGGCGACTGCCAGAACTTGGGAGAAATGTGAATCAGTGGGTGATAGATCTCTACCCTCTCTGTCTTACAAATAAATGTATTAATAACAAAATTAAGTAACAGAAATACCAGAATTCCTTTTTTTTTTTAATCTGATTTTTTTATCCTTAAAATACAGTGGCTGAATCTTGCCCTGTATGCACCAGGATTCCATGTGGGTACAGGTTGGTGTTCTGGCTTTTCCACTTCTCTTCCAGCTCCCTGTTTGTGGCCTGGGAAAAGCAGCAGAGCATGACTCAAAGCCTTGGGACACTGCATCTCCATGGGAGGCTTGGAAGAAGCTCCTGGTTCCTGGCTTTGGATCAGCTCCTGTCTACCCACTGCAGTCATTTTAGGAGTGGATCAGTAGATGGAAGATCTTTCTCTGTCTCTCCTTCTCTCTGTAAACGTAGCTTTCTACCAAAAATAAATCATTTTCAAAGATTTATTTATTCTTTACTAGAAAGGTTTACAGAGAGGATGTACAGAGAGAAAGATCTATCTGCTGGTTTGCTCCCCAAGTGGCCACAATGGCTGGAGTGGAGCTGATCCTAAAGCCAGGAGCCAGGAGTTTTCTTCCGGGTCTCCCACGTGGGTGCAGAGTCCCCAGGTGTTGGGCCATCCTCTACTACTTTCCCAGGCCACAAACAGGGAGCTGGATGGAAAGCAGGATCGCTAGGACTCAAGCCAACGCTCATATAGGATCCTAGTATGTGCAAGGTGAGGACTTTAGTCTCTTGGCTACTATGCCAGGCCCTATAAATTTTTTTTTTTAAGATTTATTTTCAGGGTCCAACACAGTAGCATGGTAGCTAAAGTCCTTGCCTTGCATGTGGCAGGATCCCATATGGGTGCTGGTTCGTGTCCCAGCTGCTCTACTTCCCTTCCAGCTTCCTGCTTGTGGCCTGGGAAAGCAGTCAAGGACTACTCAAAGCCTTGGGACCCTTGGCCAGTGAATCATCAGATAGATCTTCCTCTCTGTCTCTCCTCCTCTCTGTATGTTTTCCAATAAAAATAAGTAAATGTTTAAAAAAAAGGATTTACAAAGGCCTTGTGAGTCAGCACCTGTGACCCAACAGCCCTCTCTGCCTTGGGCTCTTATCACACCCTGCAGATAGATAAGGAGCCATGGGCCTCACTGAACAACCTGCCAAGGTCCTGCCCAGCTAGTACCGGCAAGGTGTGTCCATCTCCAACCGAAACAAGACCTCTTCCTGGAGTCTCTGCCCTTCCTCACTTGCACCTAAATCTTGTCATTGCCTCCCACCATATTCCACTCCTCTACCCACTCCGAATTTCATCTGCTTGAGGCCGAGGTAAAATATCGGCGAA